GTTAGGTCTATTATGAAAAGAGACTGATATTAACAATGTACACATAAGTCTCAGAAAAGAGTTCAAAACACAGAACTGGAAAGCAAACAGGCGTCCATTCTTGTGTGCCTCTCCTTCCACTAGATGGTGCTGGCTTTCTTCAGCTTGTTGCCTTGGAACTGCCTTCCATTTAAGAATGGCTTCTATTTACCAATAACTCAGTTGGTATCTGTGTCCCACCAGCCTCCTTCAGCTCTTTGCAGAGAAGGAGGTGTTTCTCTGAGAGCATGAATGTTGCTCAGAGCATGAACATCGTTCAGAGGATGTGATACTTACTGGACAGTAGAAGGGTATGGGAGCTCTGTAAGGCACTAAGGAGAAACTCCATTAACTTCCTAACACTTTGAATTCAAAACCAGTCTATCATCAATAATTAATGTATCAAATAACACCATCATTTTACAATTTGACCTTCTTGGGCGTTGTTAGAATATGGGAGTGAAAACAGAACATGATCATTCAAGTGTGTACTTATATATTTTAAAAAGGTATTCTCCAGATAACTAGACCCTATGCCAGAGGAAGGGGATCCCACCCAACTTATGTCCTAAGGGCATATTTTTGTTATTTCTACCTTCATCTTTTTTGATGTGTCATGTTCTAAAGACCTTGTGAGCTTTGCTACATATTATGTTTCGAAAGTCTTTTGGTTAAACTGATACACATCAAATTGTGAGAACAATTTGCTACTTAAGAAACGATTTGCTTGAACAGAGCCTGAACACCACTCAGAGGAAATGATTCTTACTAGATAGTAGGATTGTAAAATTCTACTAGAAGTAGGTTGTAAAATGAAAATTATCTTTTATTGCTGTTAAAGTCCAGCTGTGAATGTATCACATGTTTGTATATTTTCTCCCTTTTTGTCACTCCCAAGTCTGACAAGTTTTAAGGAAAAGACATGAGACTTCAAGAGTACTTTTCAAAAGATTTCTGCAAACCATTCAAAACTATACAAATAAACTTTTTAGGTAAAGCAAATGGATTAACTAGCAATCTGTCAAGAGCTTTTTACCTGTGCTGGCCATGCATTCTGGGCAGAAATTGTGTTCTGTTGCTCCATATCTATTTGGGAATAGAGAGCATCTTTTATTAATTTAGATGAAAATCTCTATCTATGTTTTAATGGCAAAATATCTGCAAAACAAGCAAAGGGAGGAGAAATTGCTGAAAATGATCATGATCTTTTCCAACCTAAAATTCTCCAGTGGCCTCTTGTCTTTTGCAGTGGTTCTCAGGCCCAGACCACTTTGAGGGAGAGCTTCAACACACAGTATGTGAAGGTAATGTCCCTGTGGAAGGAAGGATGTGTGACATCGGGAGATGGGGAGATGGGGGGCAGGTATTACAATATCCAAAGGGAATGAGTGTTTCAGACGTTAAGACATCACAGATGGCCTTTAGTGATTCTGATGAATAACACCGCTACCCTAGTGCACCCAAAAGAGAAAGCCTTTTCTCATTGCCACTGTTCTGGAGAAAGAAACAAAATAAAGCCCCAAATTCTTTTTTTTTTTGAGACGGAGTTTCGCTCTTGTGACCCAGGCTGGAGTGCAATGGCGCAATCTCGGCTCACCGCAACCTCCGCCTCCTGGGTTCAGGCAATTCTCCTGCCTCAGCCTCCTGAGTAGCCGGGATTACAGGCACGCACCACCGTGCCCAGCTAATTTTTTGTATTTTCAGTAGAGACGGGGTTTCACCATGTTGACCAGGATGGTCTGGATCTCTTGACCTCGTGATCCACCTGCCTCGGCCTCCCAAAGTGCTGGGATTACAGGCTTGAGCCACCGCGCCCTGCCAGCCCCAAATTCTTTACTTCAGTATGTAGTTCAGTATATACATACGTCCTGTATATTCTAACTCTTACCTAAATCTCCTGCTCATTTTCTCTAGGTTCCTCAATGCATTCAGTGACCAAAAAGAGTAAATGTTCAGCATTCTCCCCAGATACGCCATCTTCCCTCAGGTCTATATGTATTTTCTCTGCCTGGAATGCCTCTCCCTTTATATATTATCTCCAAAAAGTTCTTCTTATCCTTCAAGTCTCAGCTCCAGCCTGTATACTGTCTAAGGCATACTCTTGGTCCCCTCTTACTGTCACCTTCTTTTGGTCATCTACTCATCTCCTCCACTGATTGAGAGTAAGAACTGCCTTGTTTAGCATTATTATGGTACCAGGCACATAGTAGCTAATAAATACATACCTGGCAAATCAATGAATGCAGTATTATTCAAAGAGGAATATAGCTCATTTAGGGTGTTCAGAAATGATAACTTAGGACCATGAAAAAAACTAGCGTAAATCTTGTTTTAAAAATTAATCTACTAGCCTCTGTTTTAAAATTTAATTCTTACAGCAGGCGAAGAGATGGCAAGCATCACAAACAAATATTTTAGTGGAATCTGAAACTTTAAAAGCATAGAATGTTCAGATGATAGGACTAAAAATGATAACATTGTAGACTTCGGTGCAGTGGCTCACTCCTGTGGTACGAGCTACTTGGGAGCTGAGGCAGGGGGACTGCTTGAGGCTGGGAGTTCAAGATCAACTGGGGCAATTATAGCAATACTGTCTCTAAAGAAAGATAAATAAATAAATAAAAGACAGCATCATAGATTCTAAAATTGAACAGAAAATCAGAGCAGTTTTGGGCCTAATTGCAACATTTCAGCTGAGACTTATATCATATGAGGAGATATCATGGAAAGTGGAAACCAGAGACACACGACAAGGGAGTAGCATTCCTAGACTTAGGAAATTGTGTATGGGTCTTATGATCCCTTAAGCATAAGAACACTGTCTCTTTTCTTCCTAACATCTTCATAACATACTGAGAAGCAAAGTAGAGGGGGCGGGAAGATGGAAAATCAGGAAAGGAAGTCTAGTGAGATGATTCCACAATTAAAAAAAAAAAAAACCTAAAGGTTGCCAAATCCAATGGTCAGATCTCTGTCCTCATCTTACTTGACTTAGCAGCAGAATTTGATATAGTCGATCACTCCTTTCGGCTGTAAATATTTTTCTTCCCTTGGCTTGTATTCCGTCTCATAGCTCTGGTTTGCCCCAGGGTTCATCTCTTAAATGTCTCTATTTTTACATCTGCAAGTATTGCTTTGGTGAGCCCTTCCAGCCACATGGCTTTCAGTGTCACCAATTTATTTATTCAGCTCAGACTTTTCTTTTTTCTTTTTTCTTTTTTTTTTTTTGAGACGGAGTTTCACTCTTGTTACCCAGGCTGGAGTGCAATGGCGCGATCTCAGCTCACCGCAACCTCCGCCTCCTGGGTTCAGGAAATTCTCTTGCCTCAGCCTCCCGAGTAGCTGGGATTACAGACACACGCCACCATGCCCAGGTAATTTTTTGTATTTTTAGTAGAGACGGGGTTTCACCATGTTGACCGGGATGGTCTCGATCTCTTGACCTCGTGATCCACCCGCCTCGGCCTCCCAAAGTGCTGGGATTACAGGCTTGAGCCACCGCGCCCGGCCCTCAGACTGTTCTTTTAAACTTGGACCACATTCACCTGCCAACTTAACCTTTCTTGTTAGACTTTGACAGGTATTTCAAATTTTACATGATCCAAACTGAGTTCCTATTCTTTCTCTCTAATGTGGCTCTTTCTGGAACCTTTTCCATCTTAGTTAATGGCAACTCTATCCTTCTAGTTACTTAGGCTCCATCCTGCTTTAACCTCTCCCAAACCCAACATCCAGTCCAAGATAAATACTGTAAATTTTACCTTCATATTTTATTTGAATCTGAAACTTCAAATTTTACCTTCAGAAAGATAAGAAAATCCTTACATGCTAGATGGTGATGTGTTTTATTCATTATCACATCCACAGTACATAGACCAATGTATCTGGTGGATAAAGCTTCTTATAAAAGACTTGTTGAATTAATGAATGGATGATTTTGAGAAAGTATGAATGGGAACATGTCAAAAAAAAAAGAAAAAGAAAAATCTTTTTTTTCTTTGTTGCCCAGGCTGGAGTATAGTGGCACAATCTTGGCTCACATCAATTCTCCTGCCTCAGCCTCTCTAGTAGCTGGGATTACAGATGTCCACCACCACGCCTGTCGTGCATTTTAGTAGAGATGGGGATTTCACTGTGTTGCCCAGGCTGGTCTTGAACTCCTAACCTTGTGATCCGCCTGCCTCACCTCCCAAAGTGCTGGAATTACTTACAGATGTGAGCCACCGTGCCCGGCCGCAAAAAAGGATTTTAATAAATCAGATGGCCAGGTTAACAATTAGGAATGAAAGAAATACATATTTTTATGTCAGTGAGCTTGTTATTTTAGATTATAAATAAGATTTTTTGAGGTGGGGGAGGATCTGTTGAGGTCAGGAGTTTGAGACCAACCTGGGCAACATAGCAAGTCCTAGTCTCTACAAAAACATTTTTAACAAGTTGCCAGGTGTGGTAGCATGTGTCAGTAGCCCTAGATGCTCAGGACGCTGAAGCAGGAGGATGACTTAAGCCTAGGTGACCAAGGCTGCAGTGAGCTATGATCGTGCCACTGGACTCCAGCTGGGTGACACAGCAAAGCCTTGTCTCCAAAAAACAAAAACAAAAAGGAAGGAAAAAGAAAGAAGTTTTAATGTCCTAATGACACAGCAAAGTGTTGTTTCAAAAAAAAAAAGAGAAAGAGGGAAGGAAGGAAGAAGGGAAGAAGGGAGGGAGGGAGGAAGGGAGGTAGGAGGGAAAGAGGGAAGGAGGAAGGAAGAAAGAAAAAAGAGAGGGAAGGAAGAAGAAAGGAAGGAGAGAGGGAGGGAGGGAAGGAGAGAGGGAGGAAGAAAGGGAAAAAAGAGGGAAGGAAGGAAGGGAAGGAAGGAAGGAAGGAAAGAGGGAGGGAGGGAAGGAGAGAGGGAGGAAGAAAGGGAAAAAAGAGGGAAGGAAGGAAGGAAGGAAGGAAGGAAGGAAGGAAGGAAGGAAGGAAGGAAGGAAGGAAGGAAGGGAGGGAGGGAGGGAAGGAAGGGAAAGGAGGGAAAGATGGAGGGATGGAGGAAGGAGTTTTAATGTCCTGATGCCCAGAAATTAGCGTGTCTGAGGGAAGGGGCCAGACATCACTGTTTTCTAAAGCTCCCCAGGTGATTCCAATGTATGTCAAACCTAAGAACAACTGCTGTATAGAAGTCACGCTTAGAGTTTATATACTAGCATCTTGTTCTAAATGTTTCCTAGTATAATATATCTTTCCCCTCGTTAATAGATCAGTGTAATATTTCTCATAAGCTTTCCAACCACTCAACATAATGACATTTTGTAATGTACAGAATGCAAGAAAATCAACCTAAAAATCATTAAAATGAATAAAAATTCTAAAAGTCAGTTCATTCAAAATAAATACACAAAGAGTATTAGCTTTCAATGTGCCAGAATAACCAATTCAAATATACCAGGGGAAACACTTCTATTCACAAAGAAATAAAACTCACAAACTATTGAAGAATAACTATCTCAGGAATATTCAAGACTTCAGTAAAACTATGAAATTTTACATTAGTTCAAAAGAAAAGTTTTGAATAAATTAAGACATTTTTCTGGGTGCGTGAGATTCAATGTTTTCGAGATGTAAAAATATTGAAAACATGTTCATTCTTTCCAAAGGAATCTTCTTAGTGCACTTCCAGTCATAATTCCATTTTGACTAGATGATTTTAAGAGTCACCTGAAAGAAACAATGAGTGATATCAAAATATTTTTAAAAGAAAAATTATGAGTAAAGATTTTTCCCCCAAAATGGACACATTACACATAGGGATTCATATATAAAATTGGTGGGTTAACACCAGCACCCTTTGACCTGGATTTCTTATTACGTTTATGCTTTACATTTTTTTCAGCTTTATTGAGGCATGATTAATGAATAAAACATGTATGTACTTAATGTGGCAATGTGATTGATATACTTACACAATTTGAAATGATTATCACCACCAAGCTAATTAACATATTCATCACCTTAGTTACTATCTGTGTGTGTGTATATGTGTGTGTGTGTCTGTGTGTGGTGAGAACACTTAAGCAAACTCTCTTAGCCAACATTAAGTATACAATACATTATCGTTAACTATATTTACAATGCTGTACATTAGATCTCTAAAACGTATTCATCTTATAACTGAGATTCTGTTTCTATGAGTTCAATGTTTTTAGGTTCCACATGTAAGAGATATGATGCAGTATTTGTGTGTCTGTGACCGGCTTATTTCATCTACTATAAGGTCCTTCCGTTTGATTCATGTCACCTAATGCCCATTGATAATAGACTGGATTGGAAAAATGTGGCACATATACACCATGGAATATTATGCAGCAATCAGAAATGATGAGTTCGTGTCGTTTGTAGGGACATGGATGAATCTGGAGAACATCATCCTCAGCAAACTGACACAAGAACAGAAAATGAAACACCGCATATTCTCACTCATAGGTGGGTGATGAAAAATGAGAACACATGGACACAGAAAGGGGAGTACTAAACACTGGGGTCTACTGGGGGGAAAAGGGGAGGGCCAGTGGGAGGGGGAGGTGGGGAGGGATAGCCTGGGGAGAAATGCCAAATGTGGGTGAAGGGGAGAAGAAAAGCAAAGCACACTGCCATGTGTGTACCTACGCAACTGTTTTGCATGCTCTGCTCATGTACCCCAAAACCTATAATCCAATAAAAAATTAAAAAAAAAAAATGTCTATTCCAGTTCTTTGGCTGCTATTTTAATCAGCTTATTTGGTTTTTCTCTATTGAGTTATAAAAGTTCCTTCTGTATTTTGGATATATGGTTTGTAAATATTTTCTCCCTTAGGTTGTCTTTTCTTTGGTTGATTGTTTCTTTTATTGTGCATAAACTTTTAAATTTAATTTGGTTGTACTTGTTTATATTTGCTTTTATTGCCTGTCCTTTTGGTGTCCTATCCAAAAAATTATTGCCAAGACCATTGTCAAGTAGATCTCCCCCAGCCAAACTTCGTTTTTCTTCTAGTAGTTTTACAGTTTCAAGTCTTAAGTTTGTCTTTAATTTATTTTGAGTTGGTTTTTGTATATGGTATCAGATAAGGATTGAATTTCATTCTTTAATATATGGATATCCAGTTTTCCCAACATGATTTATTGAAAAGACTATCCTTTCCTCATTGTGTATTTTTAGTACCTTTGTCAAAGATCCGTTGATTATACATGCATTGGTTTATTTCTAGGGTCCATATTCTCTGTGTTGATGTTTCTGTTTTGATGCAAGCACTATACTGTTTTGATTACTATATCTTTGTCTTTGTATTGTAATTTGAAATCAGGAACCATGATGCTCACAGCTTTGCTCTTTCTCAAGATTGATTTAGCCATTTAAGGTCTTTTTTGGTTCTATACGATTTTTCCCCCATTTCTGTGAAGAATGTCATTGGAATTTTGGTAAACATTGGATTGAATTTGTACATCACTTTGTAATATGAACAGTGTTAATTCTCCCAAATTCCATTTATTTGTGTCTTCTTTCAATGTCTTTTATCATTGTTTTATGGTTTTCAGTGTACTCACCTTTCACCTCCTTGTATTTAATTTTTATAGCTATTGTATATGGAATTTATTAAAATTTATTTCTGATACATCATTGTTAGTATATAGAAATGCTACTAATTTTTGTAGGTTAATTTTGTATCCTGTAACTTTACTGTATTTGTTTATGAGTTCTGACAGTTCTTTGGTGAAGTCTTTGAGGTTTTTTTATACATGGTATTATGACATCTGCAGAGATAATTTAACGTCTTCCTTTTCCATTTAGATGCCTTTTATTTCTTTCTGTTTCCTAATTGCTCTGGCTATTGAATAGAAGTGGTAAGAGAAGGCATCCTTGTCTTGTTCCAGTTTTAGAGGAAATGCTTCTAGCTTTTGATCTGTATGTTCACTGTAGGCTTATTAAATATGACCTTTATTGTTTTTGGGTACATTCCTTCTATACCTAATCAGCTGATTTTAATCTCAAAGAAAGATGATATTTATCAAATGCTTTTTCTGCATCTATTGAGATGATCATAATTTTTATCCTTTATTCTGTTAATGTGGTATGTCATATTTATTGATTTACTTATGTTAAATTATCCTTGCATCCCAGAAATAAATCCCACTTGAGCATGGTACATAATCCTTTTAATGCACTGCTGAATTTGGTTTGCTTGTATATTGTAGAGGATTTTTGCATCTATGTTTATCAGGGGTATCGCCCTGTAATTTTATTTCTTATAGTGTCCTTGTCTAGCTTTGGTATCAGGATAATGGTGGCTTTGTAAAATGAGTTTGGAAGCATTCCCTCCTCTTCAACTTTTTGCAAGAGTTTGAGTAGAATTGAAATTAATTCTTTAAGTGTTTGAAAAAAATCAACAGTGAAGCTGGCAGGTTTGGGTGTCTCTTTGTAGGAAGCTTTTTGATTACTGATTTAATTTCCTTTCTCATTTCCATCTGTTCAGATTTTCTGTTTCTTCATAGTTCAGTCTTGGTAGGTTGTAGGTTTCTAGCATTTATCTATTCCTTCTAGGTTATACAGTTTGTTACTGTTTAATTATTCATAGTAGTTTCTTATAATCTTTTGTATTTCTGTGTTTTTATATCTATGGTTTTATTCATTTCATTTGAATCTTCTCTCTTTTTTCCTTAGTTAGGCCAACTAACGTTGTCTTAATTTTGTTTATCTTTTCAGAAAGCCAACTTTTGATCTTTTATATTGTTTATCTTGTCTCTATTTCATTTGTTTTTGCTCTGGTCTCAGCTCTTTTTCTCTTTCTTTCTCTCTCTCTCTCCCTTCCTTCCTTCCTTCCTTCCTTCCTTCCTTCCTTCCTTCCTTCCTTCCTTCCTTCCTTCTTTCTTCCTACTAACTTTGGGGTTATTTTGTTTTTCTTTTTCTAGTTGTTTTATAATTACAATTGTTATATTCTCTTAATAAATGGACCCCCTCATATTTATATAATAATGTATTAGAAAGTATTTGCCTGCATTGTGGGTGCATGGGCCATATCGTCAAGACTGGAAAATTACCCAGACATTCCAAGCTGCATAAAAACACCTTAACAAAACCTCAAAACTCAACGTGAGTTAAAACTTTTGATATTACTGTATACATAAAGGAAATGTAAAATTTTGCTTTATTTGAATGGTAATTACATTTTAAATCTTGAAATCAAGCCATAACTAAACCAAATATTTGGTAAATGCTTTGGGAATGTCCAGAATATTTTGTCTCAGTACTTACGCTGTTCTACTAAAGATAAATCTAAATCTAGGATAAATCATCATATTTTTTCTACCTTCTGGATGGAGTTATTAAACTTGACTTTTATATTAAAATCATTTTGAGGGGAGATCATGAGACCATTAGAAAGTGTCTTAACATACACAGATATCACACAAAGTGGTGTGATATAAAGATCTGTGTCAATAAGAAGCAAGAGTGATATCTTTCAATGGTAGAAAGTGGATGGACTTACATTGAAATTTTCGGGCTGGGCACAGGGCTCACACCTGTAATCACAACACTTTGAAAGGTGGGAAGATTGTTTCAGCTGAGGAGTTTGCAACCAGTCTGGAGAACATGATGAAACACCATCTCTACAAAAGAAACAACAACAACAAAAATTAGCCAGGTATGGTGGTGCATGCCTGTAGTTCCAGCTGCTTGGGAGGCTGAGATGGGAGGATTGCTTGAACCTGGGAGGCAGAGATTGCAGTAAATGAAGATCATGGCACTGCACCCCAGCCTAGGTGACAGAGGAAGAGCCTGTCAAGAAAAGAAAAGAGAAGAAAGAAGAGAAAGAAAGAAAGAAAAAAGGGAGCGATGAAGAAAGAGAGAGAGAAAAAGAATTTGAATTTAGTATGGTAAGTTTTCTTCTTTAAATTCATATAATTTCTTCTATAGTATGTACTGTTAAAATGCTCTTTTAATAATCAAATATTCATTAAATATAATTATGCATTAGCAACTTCATTTAGAAACTGAAACAAAACACAAATGCACATGAAAAGATCAATTCTTTTCAGAAAGAATAGAGTACAATCCTGAATTTTCAATAATTCAAAATTTTGTCATATAGAGCTTTATTGTAAATCCTGATTATGATTATGTTTGGTTTGTATTAAATAAGGTAGTAAGAATAGTGACAATCTCTTTGCCTTAGCACTATCAATTTGAGATATGTAAGAAGTCAGAATTACAAGAAACTAGAAGAAAAAGGAAGGTTCTTAAAAGATAATCCCTCTTACACACAATTTTACCTGTTACCCCAGTAAAAATGTTAAATGGAAAATTCTAGCAATAAACAATTCGTAAGTCAAATTGCATGCCATTCTGAGTAGAGTGATGAAATTTTGGGTCATCCTGTTCTGTTCCACTTGGAAAATAAATCACCCCTTTGTTCAGCATATTCAGTCTGCATATGTCACAAGCCTATTGGTCATTTAGTAGTTTTTCTGATTATCAGATCAATCATGATTTCATCACAGTGTTCGTGGGCAAGTAACCTTGATTTTATTTAATGATGCCCCAAAGAATATTGATGCTGGCATGTTGTCATAATTGTTCTTCATTATTAGTATTGTTAACTGTGCTTTATTTATAAATTAAACTTTATTATAAGTATGTATGCATAGGGAAAAAAACACAGCATACATAGAGTTCTGCACTACTCGTGGTCTCAGGCACTCACTACTGTGGGTCTTAGAACACATCCTCCGTTGCCTGGGCTTGTTGGCTCACGCCTGTAATCTCAGCACTTTGGAAGGCCAAGACGGGCAGATCACTTGAGGTCAGGAGTTCGAGAACAGCCTGGCCATATGATGAAACCCTGTCTCTACTAAAAATATAAAAATTAGCCAGTCTTGGTGGCGCATACCTGTAATCCTAACTACTCGGAAGACTGAGGCAAGAGAATTGCTTGAACACAGGAGGTGGAGGTTGCAGTGAGCTGAGACCTCACCACTGTACTCCAGCCTGGGCAACAGAGAGACTTCATCTGAAAAAAATATATATCCTTTATAGATAAGGGGAAACTGCTCTAACTTTAATGATCCATTAATGTAAAACCATTTTCTCTTTTTAAAGCTCATTTGTGTGTGTGTGTGTGTGTGTGTGTGTTTGTGTGTGTGTGTTTGTGTGTGTGTGTGTTTGTGTGTGTGTGTCTTTGTTCTCTGACCTTCTCCTCCACAGCCTTCTTAGGTCTCATCACTCTACTTCTTTGTTCTCTACACAATGGTCAGCTTTTGGGACTAGAATGATATGTCCCACCCACCTTGGCATGCCCTGAAGTGCCTAGCATCACATTCTGCATATACTAAAATGTGTGTCTGGATGTGTAGAATAGAAAACCAAATGTAATGGTTTCCCTTATGTCCATTTTATGTCCCCAGGAGTATAATATACTTCTATATCTAGACTATAAGTCCTGTATCTGTATAGGGATTATTAGTTTTTCAAATAACTTTCATAATTATGCTCTCATTTTCATGACAATGATATGAAATAACAAGAGAAGTGTTATTACACGGTAGGAAACGGAAGCATAAACCTTTAGATGCCATTACATGATTTGTCTTACTTCACAAAAATCAACAGATCTTAGACTAAAATACATATTCTCTCCTTTTAATCTGAGTTTGCTTCTCTTAGATACACTTGAAATACCTTTCATCATAGTGAAAATTAAGCACTTTGTTCGCAAAAAGAAACAAGAAAAAAAGAAAGATCAACCAGCTTTTAAAAAATTCATTATGACTCAAACTTAATTGACTTAAACTTTGGTTAAACAGGAAATAACTGCAAACCCATTTGAACAAGTCAGCAGTGTTCAAAATATTCAACACATATTTGATGAGTATTGAACACTTTGCTAGACCAAGTGATAAACTGGTAAATATAACTGAAACCCCATACAGGAAGACCCCTGCCATTTGTTCGTCATTGATTAAATGTAACTACCTATAGTGCTACCTTACTAAAAATACTATTTTCGTCACTTGCCTTTGCTTGGCTGCATGGCAACCAAATGACCAAAGTAATGCCAACCACGTCGATTCTTCCAGGGGCCTGTGACATCAGCGCTGTCGGAGGAGTTCAGTGCTAATAGATTTGGCTCATGGTTTTAGTTGTTTGATTTCAGTATGGAAAAACAGAGGATGGCATAGCAAAAAGAAACCATTACCAAGCTTCAGGGAAGCATACTAGAAAGAAAGGATTTATTTTCTTTTTTCATATTTTTTTCTACTGTTTTATGCCTAACCAAAATAAAATGTGAATTTATTAAATCACAGATCCCAAGGCCAAAATAATGGTCAAGTACAACAAAGGAAGCAGGAGAAAAAGGAGAAAGCCTGAAATATATCAAAGTAAAAATGAAGCTAAGTGAGATGTATATAGGTATTGCTTACTAAACAACAACATAATGGGATATCTTAAAAACAACAAAAAAGAAAATACAAAAAAAAAAAACCCACACAAAACAAACAAGCAAACAATAATAGCATAACTTAGAGTAGGACTCTCTGAGGTGTTTGAACAACACCATTTTTTGTAGAAGGAAGAGATAGAGCTCCAGTTCTGATAAGGCTTCATAAAGAATGGGCCGGATCAGAAAGGACGTAATAAGTGGCTTAGTAGCAGGTAGATGTGATTGTATGACTAATCATAGCAAGAGCTGTTTCTTAAAATCCAGGGCTGCAAGCCCCACACTTGTTTTCAGGAAGACAGAGAACCTGTGGACAGTGAGGCTGTAGTAGCGGCAGGTGCCTTGAACATGAAGGCCGAGCTGCCACATTGCTCCCTGGAAATTCACAAACAATGCTACCTAAATTTCTTATTCCCAAAATAGAAATAGGTGGGTCCAAGGACAGTTCCTCTAACACTGTGCTCCAACTATTTTAACCTAAGACTCTTCATATCAGTTGCTATAATTGTCATCTTGAAACAGGACATGCATTTCTTGCTATATATAGATAGAAGGAATGTATATTTGGATATCAGTGTCACTTTCCTTGGAACAACAGTAGTATTCGACTAGTCCTTCACTGTCAAGCCTGACCCCTCCCTGAAACTCACCCACCAGACAAAACTAGAGACACTGTTAGAAAAGCTAGGACTAGTTTTATCTCCCCTTTAACAAAATCCACAGGAAAGCCAACTTGCAAAAGAGGCAAATATGGAGGCAATTACTAGCATTATGAACGCATCATTCTTTCAAATATATGAGTTACTCAAAATATGTCTGATTGTGTGTGTATAAATGACAAACTACCTGAGGAACAGGCGTCATTAAAATAGTGGTGCTGCGGTCATTGCATCGTCATCATCACTCCCGTACTACGGATATCATTTTATGCATTATTTTAAATGTATGGCATAGGTAGATCTGTAACAACTATTATATAAATGGGTAAAACAGGCATACATTAATTGGTTTAAAAGCAGAAAAGTCGGCCGGGCGCGGTGGCTCAAGCCTGTAATCCCAGCACTCTGGGAGGCCAAGGCAGGTGGATCACGAGGTCAAGAGATCCAGACCAACCTGGTCAACATGGTGAAACCCCGTCTCTACTAAAAATACAAAAATTAGCTGGGCATGGTGGCGCGTGCCTGTAATCCCAGCTACTCAGGAGGCTGAGGCAGGAGAATTGCCTGAACCCAGGAGGCGGAGGTTGCGGTGAGCCGAGATCGCGCCTTTGTACTCCAGCCTGGGTAACAAGAGCGAAACTCGGTCTCAAAAAAAAAAAAAAAAAAAAAGAAAAGAAAAGAAAAAAAAAAGAAATAAATTAAAATGAATATAAAAATTTAAATAAGTTTATAATGTAAATCAGAAAGAGGTCACTGAGACCCACGCGAAGAGTTATTTTAGTGGGGTGAAGGGGATAGAGGCCAGATGGCTTTCTGAGTGCTGACGGTGACCTGGGTTACTTCAAGGCTAGCTATGTCAAAACAAATTTAAGGCAGACTATTTTTATTGGGAAATCAGTAACACGATAAACTGGTTTTTTTGTTTGTTTGTTTTTTCTTTTTTTAAAAAGAAAGCAAACAACCTTCCTCAATTAAAATTCTGATTTTTTTTTTGCTTGTTTTATTAATACATTTGCTACTCACTTTTTTAGACTATACGTGCTCAATAACTTGACCTAATGATTCTTGATCAGATTAGATGTCACTGACTGCCCTATCTCCAACTGTATATTAAACTAGCAAATATTAAACAAAAATCAAAGACAGCAATTAGTATGACAAGAAGATTGTATTTAATGAAATTTGACCTGAATCTTAAAGATGGCCAAAGAGAAATAGTGTGTATTAAAATATGTCAAAAGTGAATTAGGGTCTGCCAAAGCAAAGACTTACAGATTTGTCTCTTGACCAAACATCTTTAAAATACGTGCTAATTCTAAGCGGTTTTGTTTTGTTCTAACAGTAGGAACACTCCCTGCAGCTGAATTGGCAGATCCTTTGTTTTCATAAGAGTTCTTTGAACCAATCAGGACACAGATAATCTTATTATACCTCTGTGGGCTTGTGTTTCTTTTGATGAGAGTCTAGAGAAGTCACGGGTAATACTTTACCATGTGCCAGAGACAGCTTATGTTTCAGTTGTACAAGGTCAGATCTTAATTTAACCACCAACTGGATACTTAATTTTAGATACACAGAGGAACACATTGGCTCCAGGGCACTTCCTCTGATTTAGGAAGGTAAGTCCCTGGATAAGAATGACAAGATGATCATTCCAAAAGGTGAGATTATGAAATATTTGATCTTTAGCTCACCAACCAGCTTATTGAATATTGTTCAGTATTGGAAATATTTTAAACAGATGGAAGTGCAGATGGTAGTAGCTACTCATTACTTTCTTTCTGGTTGATCACCTATGAGCTTACCTGTCTAGGGCCTTTTTAATTAGAGAATAAAGCTAGAATTTGTTTGTTTATAGACCACCAACTAAATTGCATAATTACTAAGCATAAAAAATTATATCATGAGAAAAACAGATTAAGAATATCCTTATAGAACCTGTCAATATATTTACTATAGAATCCTCAGAAGGATTTCAGCTGACTTCTTGGTTTCTGATTAAAAACAATTAAATAATTTTTGTGAATAAATAGAGTAAATCTCTTTTAAGGCTTTTTCATCACCTGTTGAAAAAGATGAATGCTTTCTGGCCAGATTGAAAAATTTCTTTAAATTAGTTAGATTAAAAAATAATAAACTGAATAGAATTGGAAATTTACTCCTGAAAATTATATCAGAAAACCTAAAGGTTGGAAAGTCCTTAAAATTTATGGGATATCATCACTCATATTGTTCTTAAATGTGCAGTTAACTTCTAAGGAGCCACCTGTATCTTAAATGATTTGACTTTCATGAAGTAGAGCAGTGAAGTAGACAAGAAAAATCTTATTGCTGCTTTGTGCTGAGAGCATCAAGTTATTGTGATAAAAATTATAATTTTACACTTCAGTTATGTTAATGGGAATATTTTATTTTCAAATAAAAATTTTTCTACAAGTTTTATATTTTCTCTGGAGTTTTTGGATGAATTTGCTAAGTGTTTGCTTAAACTTTTTGAGAAAACTTTTTCTCAGGCTTATGAATTTTTAGGTTACAAAATAGGATCCTCTTTTCATTAAATTCCTTCAGAGTAGCTGAGTCATCGTTAGAGTATATTGGTTAAGCCTGTGTTGCCTCTATTGTCAGATGACTGGGCTATATCCCAGTCTCCACTGCTCACTAGATATGTGGGTTTAGGTAAATTCCCTAAGTGTTTTGTACTTCAGTTTTCTCATCTGTAAAGTGGGGGAGAATTATGTCATAGACATTAAATGACATCCATTTAATGTACTTAATGTAATGCCTGTCACAGGTAAACACCCAATAGATGTTAGTTATAATAATTATTAAACTCAATATAAAAATATTTATTAAAGACCTGCTATGTACTTGACTGTGTGCTAAACCTTAAAGAGAAATTGCTATTATTTCTGGAGAAAAATCTAAAATATATTATTTAAAGGCAGAAAACTCCCTGAGGGCATGGATCACATATATTTGTGTCTAGCCCGGTGCCTAGAACATAGCAGACATTGAATGTATATTTTTTGCATGGACAAATAGGAGAGTCTGAGCATCCTTAGGAAAAAAATAATCACTAACGATTGGTGGGTTAATTTTTCTCCTTTGTCTTTTTGATTAGCAGAGCAGAGGAACGTAGTATCGTAGATACATGCATTTGTATTTTACCAAGGTATCTGACAATATTCCTTGATGATGGTCTTGTTATCAAAAAGGAAACATTAATACTAGGTGGTGGTGTCTTTAAAAGGATTTGTAAGTGGATAGACGGCTTTTCTGGGAGGGTGCTAAATAATAGATCAACGTCAACATAGAGGCTTCTGTCCTGTGCCAATTTCTTTTCAACATTTGTCTTTATCAGTGGAGTTTAAGGACATATAGAAGGCATGCTTATTAAGTCAGCAAATAAAACAATACTTGGAGAGGTAGAAAATGCATTCAATTTTAGCAGAAGGAAATAAAGGCCAAATTGAAAAAGATAAAATGTAATAAGAATAAATAGAGTCCTGCATAAAATCGCACAGAAAACAGTGTGGGGAAAACATACGATTTGTAGAATTCTTTAGATACTGGGGTCTAAATCAAGTGTGTAACATGATAGCCTAAATATTATTATCTGAGCTTGAGCTAAATTAACAGATTTATAGTGTTTGAGAAAAGGGAAGTGGTCACATACACTTAAACTTGTGTTGGTCTGACTGTAGCTGTTGTGCTATATTCAGAGCCTGTGGTTCGGTGTCACTTTTAAAAAGAGATGGATGAACCAATGTGTTTACAGGAAAGCAATCAAGACGGTGCAGGAGAAACCATGTTATGGGCAGAACAGTCGTACAGCCTTAGAAAGAAAGGCTCAGTGGAGACCTGACAGCCTTCCTGGGGGATATTTACAGGGCTCCTGTGTTGCAGACGAACAATACTTTCTCAGTGCAGCTCTGAGAAAGAGAACTAGAAACTGTTAGAAGAGAATTAGAAACATTATCTTCAGATAATATTTTGAAGGGGTGGATTCAACTTCACTGGTTTTTCTAATTGTTAAAGCTGGCTAGGCTGGGTGCAGTGGCTCATGCCTATAATCCCAGCACTTTCGGAGGCTGATGGGGGAAGATGACCTGAGGTCAGGAGTTCAAGACCAGCCTGACCAACATGGTGAAACCCCATCTCTACTAAAAATACAAAAATTAGCTGGGCATAATGGCGGGCGCCTGTAATCCCAGCTACTCAGGAGGCTGGGTAGGAGTATCGCTAGAACCTGGGAGGCAGAGGTTTCAGTGAGCTGAGATTGCACCATTGCTTCCAGCCTGGGCTACAGAGGGAGACTGTCTAAAAAAAACACCAAACAAACAAACAACCTAGCTAAGGAGAAGCACCGTGGAGATAGCAAGCTCCCTGACACTTTGATGTTCAAGCTGAGGCTACCAATTACTTGCTGGGCATGTTGTAAATAAGATTTACAGGTAGGGCTATACCTGATGAAATTTGGTGATTCTAGGGAAAAGGAGGGAGAAGAAAATAAAACGGGGGTATCAGATTGACTGTTCAAGGGTGAGGAACGAAACTAAACTTTAAAAAAATCCTAGCATCATACTTTTTCATTCCACAGGAGTTCAATCACGAGTAGTAACAGGCAATGTTTACTATTTGTGACACACCAGACACAGTTAACCAGGCAGCTAATGCAGGCAGGTCAGGGTTTGAACAAAGATTCAACCATTATGATCAGCTGCTTCCAACAGAAGGAACTCAATGGCCTGTATATGATTTCAAACAAGATATGAAAAAATGCAGTGACTCATTATTATTTGAATCCATTTTGAAGGGGAAAACATTTGACTTGAAGCACCAGACAGGATTGTTTGCCATGTTGAACAAAATACATTATGCCAGGAATGAATTTTTTAGACAATATATGTATATGTATATGAATACTTATATGTATATGCATAAGAATAATATTTTTTTAAATGCTCAACACTCCTAATCATTAGAAAAATGCAAATCAAAACCACAATGAGATACCATCTCACACACCAGTCAGAATGGCTATTATGAAAACGTCAAAAAATAACAGATGCTGGTGAGGTTATGGAGAAAAGGAAATGCTTATCCAATGCTGGTGGGAATGTAAATTAGTTCAGCCACTATGGAAAACAGTTTGGTGATTTCTCACATAACTTAAAGCAGAATTACCATTCAATCCAGCAATCTCTTTATTGGATAGATACCCAAAGGAATATAAATCATTGTACCATAAAGATACATGCACGCGTATGTTCATTGCAGCATTGTTCACAACAGCAAAGACATGGGATCAACCTAAATGCACAATGACAGTAGACTGGATAAAGATAATGTTGTGCATATACACCACGGAATACTAGCCAGCCATAAAAAAGAATGAGATCATGTCCTTTGCAGCAACATGGATGGAACTGTAGGCCATTATCCTAAGAAAATTAACACAGGAACAGAAAACCAAATATCCCATGTTCTCACTTATAAGGGGGAGCTAAACTTTGAGTACATATGAACACAAAGAAGGGAACAACAGATACCAGGACCTACTTGAGGGTCGAGGGTAGGAGGAGGGCAAGGAGGGAAAAACTACCTATGAGGTACGATGCTTATTACCTGGATGACAAAATACTCTGTACATCAAATCCTTGCAATATGCAATTTACCTATATAACAAACCTAAGATAAAACTTAAAATGAAAGTTAAAAAATAATACTTTTTAAAAGTCTAGAGATATTATTATTATTATTATTGAGATGGAGACTCACCTGCCACCAAGCTGGAGTGCAATGGTGCGATCTCGGCTCACTGCAACCTCCCTCTCCCTGGTTCAAGTGATTCTCCTGACTCAGCCTCCCAAGTAGCTGGGATTAAAGGCACGCACCACCATGCCCAACCAATTTTTTATTTTTAGTAGCAACGAGGTTTCACCATGTTGGCCAAGATGGTCTCGATCTCCTGACCTCGTGATCCACCCGCCTTGGCCTCCCAAAGTGCTGGGATTACAGGTGTGAGACACCGTGCCCAGCCGAGATATCATTCTTATTGTTACTACAGCTAATTAATGTAGTCAACATATTCTTTACTCACACTACAACTCAATTGTGCAAACCAAAAGTAGCTTTTTTATTGTCTGTAACTGGCCAAACCTTTCTTAGGAGCTGCCATTGACTAATAAATGGAAAATAAACTTTTGGTTTATGCAGACAGACACAGTAACTTACGTAATGAAGCCTCTGCCTGGGTGATACAGATAATGAATTGCTCTTTCAAATTTCTGCTCCTTCCCAAGCCAAGAAACTCTCCCTGCCAAGTTCTACTTGCTTTCCTGTACATGTGGGCAATCTTCTGTCTTCTTGAGATCACCAAGGTTCCTGGCCTGCTCAGCCCTGAGAGGTAGATGCCAAGCTAATTTTCCTGAGAGGGCTTTGTAAGCTTTGCCTCTGTAAAGTCCATCTTAGTTCCCTTTTTTTGTTGTTATTGGTGGTGAAAACTTTAAAATCTATGCCCTTAACAAATTTCAAGTATTCGATACAATATTGTTAACTACAGTTCCATTGACATACATTAGATTTCCAGAATTTATTCATCCTGGTTAACTGAAACTTGTACCCCTTGGCCAGCATCTCCTGGCCCCTGGCAACCAACATTCTACTCTTTTTTTCTATGACTTCAACTTTTTAGATTCCCAAGATAAATATCTCGATATTTGTCTTTCTGTACCTGGTTTATTTCATTTAGCATAGTGTCCTCTGGATTGATCCGTGTTGTCACAAATGTCAAGATTCGCTTCTTTTTTAAGGCTAAGAGTCCATTGTAAATACACAGCATATTTTCTTCATTTATTTATCTGTCAATAGACATTTAGGTTGTTTCTCTATCTTGGCTACTGTAAATAACGCTGCAACTAACATGGAACTGCATATATCTCTGTGAAACAGTGATTTCAATCCCTTTGGATATGCACCCAGAAGTGAGATTGCTGGATCATAAGGTAGTTCTATTTTTAAATTTTTGAGAAACCTTCATATTGTTTATTACAACGGCTGTACCCCAGGAAAAGATAAACTATGTGAGAGAATGGATAATTTACTTAGCTTGATTTGTGGTGAATATTTCACAATGTATACATGTCAAATCATCAAGTTGTACATAGTAAATATATATAATTTTTAATTGTCAACTCTATTTCAATAAAGTTGGGAGAAAAATCCATCTTAGTCTCTTAAAAGTGGTTAGTCATATTTGGTTAAATAAACATCACACTTAAACTGACACTTTACATAGAACATTAAATATTCTTTCAAATATATGAAAATTTTTTTTGAGACGGAGTATCTCTTTGTTGCCAGACTGGAGTGCAGTGGTGCAATCTCAGCTCACTGCAATCTCTGCCTCCTAGACTCAAGCAATTCCCCTGACCCAGACCCCTGAGTAGCTGAGACTACAGGCGCGCACCACCAAGCCTGGGAATTTTTTTGTATTTTAGTACAGATGGGGTTTCACCATGTTGGCCAGGATGGTCTCCGTCTCCTGCCTTGGCCTCCCAAAGTGCTGGGATTACAGGCGTGAGCCACCACGCCCAGCCAAGTACATGAATTTTAATAACTGGATAGTATTACATTTTTTATGTGTATGATAATGTCTTAGACAAATTTCCCATTCTGGGACATTTATGTTGTTTCTAATATTTTGGCAATTTAAACACAGATGAGATAAGCATTCTCACAGATACATCGTTTTTTACATCTCTGATTATTTCTTTTATTTACTTACTTAGTTTTTGAGACAGAGTCTTGATTAATCACCCAGGCTGGAGTGCAGTGGCGTGAATTTGGCTCACTGCAGCCTCGACCTTCTAGGTTCATGTGATCCTCTTGCCTCAGCCCCCCAAGTAGCTGGTACTATAGGTGCATCCCACCACATCTGATTAATTTTTGTATTTTTTGTAGAGATGAGGTTTCACCATGTTCCCAGGATGGTCTCAAACTCCTGAGCTCAGGCAATCTACCCATCTCAGCCTTCCAAAGTGCTGGGATTACAGGCGAGAGCCACCAAGCCTGGCTTTGTGATTACTTCTATAAGACAGATCACTAGATGTAGAATTACAGACAAAGGATAGGGATTTTAAAATCTTTTTATCATACTAACTTGTGATCAGGACAAGTATATTAGTAAGTTGTATCTTCATGGGTCTATCTTACTCTAGTCTGTTATTCTATAAGTTTATATTCCCCTAGACACACACAAGTTTGTGAGTCTAAACTCCTTTCTAAACTGTTGTGAGCGTAGTCCTCAAAAGCTAACATGAATCTTCCCAAAGTTCTAATTAAATCTGTTGGAGACCAATAATTAAATCTGTTGGAGGCCAAAAGTAAAAATTTCTTTTTTCTCTGTTTTTTTTCTTATTGCTTTTATTTTATTTTTACTAGTCCTAATACCAATTTCATTAAAAGTCTTTACTCTTGTAATATGAAACTAGAGATAAGCAAAACTAGTGAACAGGTTCTATCATTAGTATATTTACATAGAAAATAAGCATCAATCAGTGAAGCCACAAAATTTGAAGAGAATTCAGCAAAAATATATCTATGACCTATAGAGGAAGCACAAGGCTAATTTTAAGAGTTGTGTTTATTTAATCATACAGTTATTAGTTTATTTAGTAAACACTGAATTTTTAGCACATGCCAGATATCATGTTTAGTTTCTACAGACCATTTTGCCTTTTATATCTTTTTCTAAAAAGGTGCGTTGTGTTTCTTTGAAGTAACGTAAAAGTAGCATTTGTTTTTTGGACTAAGATTGTTCATCTGTGTGTGTGCATGTTTTCAGTTTCTCAAAAGAACATACTGTGCTGTTAAGAAAGATTCTATTTAAACTGATCTAGTTCCCCCCATCATGCCTGGGATTTCTCTCTAGTAGAAAAGGCAAATACCATAAAGAGGGAATTGCTGTAACTTATTGCTTGTAAGTAAAAGTTACCTGTGACTGTGGGATAAAACCTAATTCTGACAGAGTTACACTCTTCTCTGAAATTTCTGGGGGACTAGTTGATTCTGTTGTTTAAATCATCCTAATGAATCCATTCATATGATTTGCCACTTTGCGCTATGCAATTCTTAAAAAATAAGTGTTCAGCCACCAAATAAAAAACAAAGTTGTAGCAGAATTTTGTTTTGTTTACTGATTTCTTCACATCTTTAAAAGTATGCATATGTGATCAAAGTATATCAAAATGAGAATTAGCATTGTTTTGTATATGACAACTGTATTTTTTTGACAGTACCAAAAAAAAAATACAAAAAAAAACCACAAGAAAATGTCTTTTAACTTTTGCCATTCCTCTGATAGGATAAATCCTGATGATTCTCTCAGGGACCTCCAGTAGATAAGCTCAACACTCAAGAACCATTGCAGCTTCAAGGTAAAAGAAGAATTCCCAGGGCATCAGTGTCCCCCATTCCACACAGCAGAAACTTGCATCTCCTTTAGAACCCCAGGGTTTCTATTTGGGCTGGCCTTGGACAAAATCATAAAGAAAACCAAATTTTACTGAATGCCCTTTTCTTGTCCCTTCTTATCACCTCCCACTAGAACCTAGCCTTACACTTTTTGCCATGTTCCCAGCCTCATGGCACTCCAGTAACTATCGCAAGAGATCTTGGTTCTAAACTAGGAGCCAGTATATTGCTATCTAAATTTTAAAAGGGACGCTGGAAGATGAAACAATAAGCCCTAAAGGACAGAATCTCTTGCTGATGCAATAGAATGTCACTGATGTGACAGGTGCTGGGGGCAGTGTGTTATTTATGGACACGGAGCCCTTCCTTGCACCATGGAAGCAACTGTCCACTCTGCATACTCTCAAGGCCAGCCTTGCTTAGGACTCCTAGAGATGGTTTTAATTTTGTGATGCCCAAGACAGAGTGTGAGGGTAGATGGGGAAAGCAGATCTGTATGTAAGCAGGAGTAAACCAGCTAAACAATTCACGAGAGGAATTGTTAGGGGAAAGGAAGAACCTTGGTTCTGTGCTGTGGGAGCTACTGTATTTCCAAGGAAGCTCTGAGGGGTGTCAAAAATTTATCAACTACCTTTACAGGAAGGCATTAGCTCAGATCATGGTTTGGAGGCAGTTTAGCAAAACCGAGGCAAAGAGGTATCGTATGCTCATGTTCATTCCTGCATCATACCTTGCAACGTTACCAACCTCCTGACCGCTTCAGTCAGGCACAGACTGATACGTTGATTCTGTGGTTTGGACCATGATGTTTAGACTCCAAGGCAAAGTACAGAATGAAGGTAAGCTTAGGACATCTCAGACCACCCGAAGTAACATAAAGCCTTACTGCATGAAGTCAAAGAGAAAGATTTATGTGTCCCTGGAACTATTTTTTATTTTTGGAAGTGATTGTCATCAAAAGCTGGCTGTTAAAAGCAAGATCACGGTGTTTTCTTTTAAAGGCAACAGACTGTGAGATATTTTCCTCTAATTTCTGAAAGACCTTAAAAGTGAAGGTATGCCTGCCTGGTCCAGAGTCTACTTATTAGTTCTAGGACATTTGCTGGGTCTTTTAACCTCTTGAATCTATAATACCTGTAATATAGAATTGGAATAAGGATTTAAAACAAGGTAATATATACAAAATGTTTTACACAGTGCTTGAAACTAAGTAAGCACTTGATAACTCATGGTTATTATTACTATTGCCAAATGTGTTAAAAATTTTACATGATAACCAAACTTTCCCTTTTCTCATTATCTGAATTAAGGATTTAACTTAGCCTATCTGTAAAATAAACTAACACTTATTGATAACTGAGGAACATATGTGGCATTTAGCATTTAGGGATCCTTAATTCAGTGGTTGTTTACCAGGAGAACATGAAAAAAATCTCTGAGATTACATAAGTTCCCTAAAATTGCATGCAAAATTTGGAGAGGATGGGTTTCCCTCTGAAGGGAGAATCCATAGCTTTCATCAAATATTTTCATGACCCTAGACAAGGTTAACCAGTACTTTAAATGAAGAGGCTGATTGTAAAATATGATTGCATCAGTTACTTTGTAAATCAGCTACTTATGGAGAACAAATGATTTCCCTAGTGGTCTTCCCTGGAAGAAGACTGAATGTTAAATGGCAAATTATTATAAGAGTTAATTTCTCTAGGCTGGGTGTGGTGGTTCATGCCTGTAATCCTAGCACTTTTGGAGGCTGACGCGGGTGAATCACCTGAGATCAGGAGTTCGAGACCAGCCTGCCCAACATGGTGAAACCCTGTCGCTACTGAAAATACAAAAATCAGCAGGGCATAGTGGCAGATGACTATAATCCCAGCTACTCAGAAGGCTAAGACAGGAGAATTGCTTGAATCTGTTGGGGTGAAGGTTGCAGTGAGCCGAGATTGTGACATTTCACCCCAGCCTGGGCAAAAAAGCAAAACCCCATCTCAAAAAAAAAAAAAGAGTCAATTTCTCCAGACTGAGAAGTGGGACACCCATACATAGATCTTAAAGATGTCAGAATATTGTCTGGCCTTTCCTCATGCTTCTGAGTGGTGCTTTATATAAACGATTTCCTATAGACTGTTGCTGGCCCTCAGGTGGGATGAGTCCTAGACACCTTAGATGTGAGGTTTGGATAAATCAGTTACTCTCCTCTTGGCTTTATCATTGTGTCTTGATGTCTTCAGGTCCATTCCAGTAATGCTCCTGTGACTGACTGACTGGCACCTTAGTACTCCTGCATGCAGATCTTCACTTCATCCCAAGCTTTCAGGAAAAGGCTGGAGACACCTGGGCTGAATTGGAGTTGTTCTGCATAGTAAGAGTGTTCCCATCATTTTCACCCTACCCTCATTAGAGATACAAAACAGTTAAGAACCTAGGTAACTTCCTTTTTGATAGTAGTTAAAAGTTAAAGAAAAAAAACATTAAAATAAAAAACTTTACACAGACCAGCTCAGTTCTCTGTGAAGCCTGTGCTATCTCATACACTGAAAGCCCAGATTTCCGTCAGGGTTAGATTTAATCTGGTGATTTAAACAGGTGAAAGGCTCCATATCCTGTTACTAATCCCAGAGCCATACAATCCCCATCACCCCAGTAATATCACTGAGAAAGTCAGCAGGCAAGGCCACGGGTTGAACTTTGTCATCTACTGGTGCTGGCTGATGAACTCGGTACTTGTCTGCTAGTAATGACTCAACAACTTTTATTCCAGTGACCACTGAGAGCAGCTGTTTGTTTGCTGTAGTTGACAAGGAGTCGGAACAGAGGGAAGAGATAGAAAGAAAAACGAAAAGAGATTTTGCTTCCCCTCAGAAAACTAATGGTCCAAGTGAAAACACAAGCACAAGTATGTAAAGAACTTGTAAAGCAAATACAGAATGAGTTGAGTATAAACCCAGACATTGGAAAAACATTACATAAGAGGAGATATTCACAGATGAAGATGGCTGGAGCGGAACTGAAGAGTTACACAAGGGTTTCCATAGGAGGAAAGTCTTGTGCCAGCCTTGATACAGTGCAAGCCATGGGTGGGGGGCAGCTGGGAGGGCCTCATGAATGAAGAGGAATATAATATAAAAGAACAAAAGAGAGACAAATGAAACCAGGTACAGAGTGAACAATCAAATTTGTTTAGTTGATAAACACAACAACTCCATATCCAAAGGAAACAGTCAGTTCTGAGAACAAAGAAGAGCCTGGATTATGTTTCAGTGCTCACTTAGTAATAATTAATTAATTAATTCAACACATATTTAGAGAGCATGAACCAGGAGATGATCCTTCTCTTGGCACGGAGGGCACAGACTAATTACAGACTAATTCCCTGCTTTTACGTTCTAAGGAGAGGAGACAGACAAGGACCCAATGAACAGGAAATGAAAAGCAAAATACCATTTACATCTACTTGGTGAATAAGATCCCCAGGGTGCTTTTTAAGGAGACTGAGATACCACAGTGTGACGGAACATTCTTGGTGGAGCATGGTGACTATCTCGTGTGTGATCTCTGAACACTGGCACTATTCTATACCTTTCGTTCTGAGGTGATATTAAGGCCATTGCTATAGAACAATGAACAACTAAATCATAATATTGCTGTTGAGTTCATGCGCAGTCTGTCCACAGGTTAGAGGCCTTGGCTGTTAGCGGGTATAAAGTTTGAGATTACCCTGCCTTGGAGAAGAATGAGAAGAGGTAGAGCATGTGCCAGCTGTGTTTTGGAAATCGCCTGAAGAACACTCTTTCGTTCTCTCTCCTTGAGAAGACATACAATAAAATACAATTTCATATAGAGACTATAAAAGGCTTGGAAAGCACCATCAATCAAAGATAATTTCCTATTTGCCGGTCAACTCAGTTATAGAAATATTTTGATTTCTATATTTACTAAATTTACTCTCTAAATAAGATAAAGCAATTGATTCAATAGTAAAGAGTAAAATAGTAAATTCATTCGAATAGTAAATAGTAAATTCAAATAGTAAAGAGAAAAATAGTAAATTCATTCTTCTAATTTGATATTTGAGAGAAAGAAGCAAATGAAGAATAATCTACATTTTTCTGTAGATTTCAGGGAGATGGGCCAGTCAAGAGCAGTGGCTTATAATAGAACTGTATAAGGGAGTGAATGGGGATTCTATAGGAGGGTGGTTTCTGGTCTATGGATAGAGTTTAAATGGTCCTTATCACAATGTTCAAATGATGCTCTGAGACCAGTCAGGCCTTGCTGGTTTATAAGGCATGTAAAAGGATGACTGTTCTCCATTACAGCCACTATCCATCTTATCCTGATTGGGTCAATTTGTTAGCTTTTAATATGCTATGTACACATTCTCTGAGAAAACTGGTGGACCGAAATTGGCATCAATCAAAAACTCAGGAAAAAGTGAATTCTTGGGGCCGGGCACAGTGGCTCAAGCCTGTAATCCCAGCACTTTGGGAGGCTGAGGCGGGTGGATCACGAGGTCAAGAGATCGAGACCATCCTGGTTGACATGGTGAAACCCCATCTCTACTAAAAATACAAAAAATTAGCTGGGCATGGTGGCGCATGCCTGTAATCCCAGCTACTCAGGAAGCTGAGGCAGGAGAATTTCCTGAACCCAAGAGGCGGAGGTTGCAGTGAGCCGAGATCGTGCCATTGCACTCCAGCCTGGGTAACAAGAGCGAAACTCCGTCTCAAAAAAAAAAAAAAAAAAAAAAAAAAAAAAAGTGAATTCTTATAAGCCCAACTGCAGTCTTTACTGAAAAAAAAAAAAAGTTAGAAAGTGCAAATGTTCAAAGGCAGGTTATTAAAGGTTTCAACAGTTAGAATATTTAAGTTAATAAAGTGGACTTCACATGTAATATGAATTAAAATGTTACCTGCATTTGTATTTGTTAACTAGGGAAAGGAGAATGAATTTTAGTTTTTCACTATGCATTTTTCATGTTAACTCTGTGGTGTTTTGGGTCATTTGTTAAGAACTTGTCTCTTTCAAAATTATACACAGGAATGGATACTAATGACGACCCCGATGAAGACCATCTTACAAGTTACGATATTCAGCTAAGTATTCAAGAATCCATTGAAGCCAGCAAGACTGTACTTTATCCTGAAAGGTAGTATTCAAATCAACTATCCTCAGCAAACTTTATTTATGGCATTCATTTTGTTGTAAGATAAACACCATTTCCTAATTCCTCCTCTAGGAAATTGACCTTTCCTTTCTGATAGGGAATCTAGCAGCTTTCCAAGGGCCACTGTGCAAAAGTTTTAGCAATCTGATCTTCTACAAATTCTCACCTCCTGTGGAAACAGGAAAAACTGCATGTGGAAAATTCCTAGATGAATTTGGTGGTACAGAATTGCCTATTTTCTAAATTAATATGGATTCAAAAAAGGCAAAGAGTAGTTTGAACATACTTGCAAGTACAGTTTATACAACCTATATATAGACAGGTTGGTATACAGAGGTCTGTATTCTAGAGCTCATTCTGCTACTGATTCAGCTAACCCTTTATAAGTAACATACTCCATTTTTATATGTTTAAAATATGAAGAATAATGCTAAGCCACCTAGCCTATTAGTTAATGAATGAGAGAAGAGTTGTGGGCCTTTATTTTATATGACAAAGTAATATACAAACTACCACCTATTTGATTACTATCCAAATGATAAGAATTAATAAATTAAAATATACATAAAATTGATGCATTATGTAGGTTGGAGTTACTGAGTCTAAAACTACAAAAGTAAATTTCTTTTTTAAAAAACATGCATTATATGTCTGACAGAAATAAACTAGTTTACTTTTACTTTTTGTTATAGTATTTAAAATCTTGTATTCTGGAATTTAGTAGTACTTTTGAATAGATCCCGTGTTCGAAAATTGTTGCTTTTGAGCTTTTAAAAAATAAACGTAGTACATTTAAATTTCTGGTCTGAAATTTCTCCCTTATCTCCAACAAGCTTTAGACGTTTAGAGCTTCCTGGAAGGCATTCACAATCCTGGTACACTAGCAGATGTTTCTGCTTAACAGAGTTAAGTAAATTTGTTATGGAATTCCTTCTTTCCACTTAATATGTACACACACTGGAAAACTTTCATGAGGGTTTAAATCATGACCTGCTGGGCCAGTGATTGGGGGTTTAGTAAATGCCCTGCCTGTTTTCACTTGCGGTACAGTTGATTTAAAACTCTAAAACTCTTATATGTAGTTTAGACCAAAAGCTCCCAAGTAAGTATCTTATTAGCAATTATTAAGTCCAAAGCAATAAACATTTTTTGAGCATAGAGTTTTTAAAATTAGAAAAAGCCCTAGAAATCTTTCTATTAGGTCTACCATTTTGCAGATGAAGAACCCACACCCAGAAAGGCTAATTGGCCTCCCCAGAATCACACAATCAGGCTATGATCTGAACCTAGCTCTTCTGACTCTGACTCCAATTGTTTACTCCATTTTTATTGCTTTGAGATACCTCAGAGATAGCATCGTAATCTTGTACTTTGCCATCTTCACTAATATGCTTAGATCAATGCATCATAAATAAACTCTGTATCTGACTTCCGTACATTTACTTTTTTAAGTAGATAAAATCAGTTGTATGCATCTCCTTTGGATCTTGATTACGAAGTTTAAAAATTCAATATAAATTAAAATGTTTGGTTCCTTGAAATATATTACAAGTATAAATATGATTTTTCTTTATTGAATAGATTTGTACCCCTAAGCAGTCAAAACAGAAAACTTGTGGAGGCCATAAAACAAGGTAAATGGATGTATCTACAGTGGGATGGATTGGAGATTCCACCTTGCAAAAACAGAGATTAGTTATCAGTCCATGTGTTTAATTTAGGTCACATTCTTGAGCTCCAGGAGTATGTAAAATATAAATATGCAATGGATGAAGCTGATGAAAAAGGATGGTTTCCATTGCATGAAGCTGTTGTTCAACCCATTCAACAAATACTTGAGATTGTTCTGGATGGTAAGAGAATATAAAACTTGTTTGACCAAACCAGAGCAAGAATGTTGGTATGTTGATGTTATAAGTGTTTTTCATGAACATAACTAGCAGAAAGAAAAAACAGATTAAAATATTATTTGGAATTTGAAAAAGGCAGCATCTATGTTTTAAACTCAGAGTACAAAAATTAGCCCTTTTTTGACATTCAGGGTTTACCTTTTGCATCCTTTTACCTATGAATGAGACACAGGTTGGTGAAAAGATGTGGTTATCACATAAAGGTGATAAAAGTTTATATATATCATGAATTAATTGAGTCATATATAAAACTCTTCTTTGGAAGTCAATTTAAAATTTTTCATTTTGAACTACCTCTTAACAGTTTCCAAACGATTCTTAAATAGGGCAGCAAGGAGTACTGACAATACTTGTCTTTATGTTACATTGATGTTTTCATAATGTAAGCATTAGAAAATATTATGGTAAATCAAGCTAGTGTTAAATATTAACATAACTTTTATGTTCTAACATAGTGTTTTCATATCTCAGCATCTTACAGAACACTTTGAGAGTGCCCTACCTTTCAGCCTTCACTGCTGCATGACAGCTCTATGTTCTGAAAGAGAACAATACATACTTGATAATTAGCCAGCCACCTAGAAAGCTAGACAGCTAGACAGACAGATATAGATGATATTGAGGATCATTTTGCCGCAATCATACCTACATTCAAGTACATTCTCATTCCCACATTCACAGACTTCATTTGACAAAAAAAAAAAATCAGTTACAATATAAATAATAATACAAAGGACTGAAGCATTGTTTTGTAATGTATCAAGAAATGAGACTTAGCGTGCCATTTTCAAAAAAGCAGCTAGAAACAGATTTTAGCTTTCTAGCTGTCAATTTGATTAGCAAGTCCATGTGCATCTACTTTATCCTCATGTGGTAAACTTTTGTCAAAGGCTTTTCATTTTCCTCAATTGACTTTGTTAAATCTGATGTATATCATATTGGGTTGCTCTCATTTGTGGGATATCCTGTAGTGTCATTATTTTCAACTTTTCAACATAATGCTTTCATGTCACAGCATCCTATAAGACACTCTGGGAATTCAAGACCTGTGATGGAGAAACACCCTTGACTTTGGCAGTCAAAGCTGGTCTGGTGGAAAATGTAAGAACTTTACTAGAAAAGGGAGTATGGCCCAACACCAAAAACGACAAAGGAGAGACCCCCCTTCTGATAGGTAAATGACCTTTTTTTTCTAGAGCTTTTGTAGTTTGAAACAAATAATAAGTATTTATTGGAAACCACCATATGATGCCTAAAGTTGTGATCTCAGTCCCTTCCATTCCCTGAGCTACCTGCCTAACCCCGTGTCTTTTGTCCTGTGATTTCGTTTTCCTGTTCCACAAGGATGTCAAATATGAAAGATGGCTATATCCTTCAGTATCTGGTTGTAGAGACTGCAACTAACCAGGAGGGATCTGAATTAGTTTTATGAAACCAGAGATATCAATTTTAGAGGAATATTCTCTAGGTAGGATCTAGTTGTAAGCAGGGTTGCATGTGCCATATATAGCCAGAAGCAAGAGATGGAAAAAGATTCTAGAGAGAGAATCAAGTTCATGTCAGACTGATCAGGCCACGCTGGAAGGAAGGGGAGCCCGCAGATTCTGAGCACACAGATGCAGCCCATGGAACCTGTGCTGTATAAATACAGCATACATACAGTGTACAGAGGGGTACACTGTGACACAACAAAGGATCAATGGGAACTCTGAAGGTGACATTCACCAGCTGTTTTGTATATCCTGCTATTTGTTCAACAGTAAGAATTGGCAAGTCTGTTTGTGAAAGCAGAGAGAGAGATTAAGTCCAAATGACCCAAAGATAACATTTCCTTTCTCTTAGGGACATAGGGAGGTGGAGTCAGAATTTGGTATTCACACATGAGATCAGTGGGTTTAAATCTTAGCTGTGAATTGCAATCATGGGCCTCAGTTTTCTCATGTATAAAATGGAAATACAACACCTACCATGCAGAATTGTGATTAAAAATTAGAGAAAAAAATATAAAAGCTCTCACATGTAATAGATGCTCAAGAGGGGAGAGCCATTATAAAGTTGTCTGTGTGTGGCAGGAGGAGGAGAGGGAAGAGGAGCAGGAGGAGAGGGAGGAGAGAACATAAGATTATTTACCAGCAGAGGAAGACATTAAAGGTCATCGCTAGTTAAGAACCATCACAGCTCCTGCTCACTGAGGAATCACTAAATAAACAACCAACCTAAACAACTTGAATATTAGGAAGACCTGAATATTGTTAAGCAAACTTGGATAAATCATGAACATTAGTAAAACATTTATATTTGATGGCACTGATTCAACAATATCAATGCAAGAAACATATATTAAAAAGTCACATTAAGCCAGAGACTGTCTTGGCAATGTGGATATAAAGATGAATGGATTAATCTTCCTTCTCTCAGAGTCCAGGAGGAGAGTTAGATATGATTTAAATGGAAAACTAGTGTTATAAATGTTATAATTAAGTATATATTTAAACTAAATTGGGAGAATAAAAAAGTAATGAATCTGTGAAGCCTTCAAAGAACCTTGCTGTTGGATTGTCTTGAGGGTTGTATAGGGGAACATCAGCAGACAGAGGCGTGGAAGACTCCTAGGCAGGTGTTCTGCCCCGATACACCTTGCTCCATGAAGAGAGTCGCCACAGTGTGGTGTCAATTTGGCCTGGTTCCTTCTTACCTACTCTTGCCCCATGTCAGAGCTTTCGGCCTTGGCGAATTCAGATAAGATGGGAAAAACAATCTGATCCATATAGTTAGAATGCAGACAAATCTCCTGCAACATAAACCAAAAACGGATACACAAAGCAAATGAGTAAGAATAACTTAAAGAGAAAGAAGTAATTTCTCTCACACACATTGCAGGGTGGCCCACGGTTGTCAGGGTGGCTGTATCAACATTACAGTGTGCTTCCGAGGTTGCTCCCAATGTCACCATTTTCCAGGCAGCAGGAAGGAGGAAAGAGGAAGCCCTAGGAAACCATCTTCAATTTAAAAAAATGACCTGGACAGTGCACATGGCCCTTCCACTCATATCCCATTAGTTCAGATTTTGTCACAATGCCACACCTTGGGGCAAGAGAGGCCAGAGGGAGGCCAGGACATTTAGTGTCTACCTGGATGGTCTGTGGCCAGCTAAATACTTGGGGCCTCTATGGTTAAAAGGAAAAGGGGAAGCATAAATACCGAAAAACAAATCATAGTCTCTGGATATGTTTTAGCCTGCCTTTAAATCACAGTAACATGACACTTTTCATAAATAAACCAGAACTCTTTTCCTGAGCAGGCTTTAAGGACATTAAACAGAAGACATACCTGTGGGTGTTGACTCACCACTAGTAGTGTGGCCTGTATTATTTAAAGGCCAGAATATGCCACAGAGTATTTGCAACAACATCTATTTTTTTTTTTTTTTTTGAGAGAAGGAAAGAAAAAAAAATGAGTAAAGGAGAGGAAGAAAGAGGAAGAGAAAGAGGGAGGGTGAACGGAAATATTGCTTTATTCTGAAAAAAATGGGTATTAATAATGGCCAATCAATGTTTCATTTAAACCTATGAGTAGGTGTGATGTGGTATTGACAAGAATGTATATTTTGTGTATTTGAAGTGGAGAGCTCTATAAATATTTATTAAGTTTACTTGTTCCGGATCTGAGTTCGAGTCCTTGATATCCTTATTAATTTTCTGTCTCATTGAATTTAAGTCTCTATGTATCTGGGTGTTAGGATCGTTAGCTCTTGTTGTTGCATTGATCCTTTTACCACTATATCTTTGTTGCTTTAAAATCTATTTTATCCGATACAAGAATTGCAGCTCCTGCTTTTTATTTATTTATTTTTGCTCTCCATTTGGTTGGTAAATCTTTCTCCATTCCTTTGTTTTGAGTCTTTGTGTATCCTTGCATGTGAAACAGGTCTGGATGTAACATGCCGTTGGGTTTTGGCTGTGTCTTTTGATTGGGGGATTTAGTCGATTTAGATTTAGGGTTACTGCCATTTGATGTTAACTGGCTGTTTGATCCATTCGTTGATGTAAATTCTTCTTTATGTTGGTGCTCTTTACTTTTTGGTCTATTTTTAGAAAGGCTAATACTGGTTGTTTCTTTCTGTGTGTAATGCTTCTTTCAGAAGCTCTTGTAAAGCAGGCCTGGTGGTAATAAAATCTCTGAGTACTTGCTTGTTCATAAAATATTTTATTTTTCCTTCAGTTGTGAAGCTTAGTTTGGCTGGATATGAAATTCTGGGCTGAAGGTTCTGTTCTTTGAGGATGTTGAATATTGGCCCCCACTCTCTTCTGGCTTGTAGGGTTTCTGCTGAGAGATCTGCTGTAAGTCTGATAGACTTCCCTTTGTGGGTAACCTGACCTTTCTCTCTGGCTGCCCTTAGTATTTTCTCCTTCATTTCAACCCTGGTGAATCTAACAATTATGTGCCTTGGGGTTGCTCTTCTTGAGGAATATCTTTGTGGTGTTCTCTGTATTATCTGGGGTTGAATATTGACCTGCTTTGCTAGTTTAGGAAAATTTTCCTGAATAATATCCTGAAGGGTATTTTCCAGCTTGGATTCATTCTCACCATCGCATTCAGGTACACCTATCAAATATAAATTTGGTCTTTTCACATAGTCCCACATTTCTTGGAGACTTTGCTCATTCCTTTTTATCCTTTGTTCTCTAATCTTGTCTTCTTGTTTTATTTCATTAAGTTGGACTTTGACCTCTGATATCCTTTCTTCTGCTTGAACAATTCGAGTGTTTAAACTTGTGCATACTTCTCAGAGTTCCTGTATTGTATTCTTCAGTTCCATTAATTCACTTATATTCCTCTCTAAGTTGTCTATTCTCAATAGGATTTCATCAAACCTTTTTTCAAAGTTCTTAGTTTCTTTACGTTGGGCTACAACATATTCTTTTAACTCACAGAAGTTTCTTATTATCCATTCCCTGAAGCGTGATTCTGTTATTGGGATGCGCTTGTTCTCCATTAAGCCTTGTTCCATTGTTGATGTGGAACTGTGATCATCTTTAGAGGGAGAGGCATTCTGATTTTGAGTATTCTCAGCCTTTTTATGCTGGTTTCTTCCCATCATTGTAAATTTATCCTCCTGTCGTCTTTGAAATTACCAACTTTCAGATTAGGTCTCTTGAGTGGACGTCCAAGTTGTTAGTTCCCAGGGCCAGAGCAGCCGCGTTAAGACTGATGGTGCTTTTCTGCCCAGGATTCTCCTGTCTGGCTTCCTTCTTGTGTCCGTAATAGGCGACTCTGCCTTCCCGGGGCTCCAAACCTCAGAAGGGGAACCCGTCTCGTTTACTCTGTGCCGAGAGCTGCCGCGCTGAGGTACCGTCACAGCCGCTGCGACAGCCTCAGGAGTCGTGCTGGGGACTGGTGTGGGTCCTGCAAACCTCGGTCGCAAGGGGAGCCAGCCCTGTTTACTCTGCTCTGAGCGCTGCCACGCTGAGGTGCTGGCAAAACCACTGCGGCGGCCACAGGAGTCGCGCTGGCGACCCGTGTGACTCCTCCACTGGGGATCTTCTGCTCCGTGAGCGACCAGAATTTGTCTGAAAGTGTGGTGTCCTCTAGTTCTCTGCACTTCCACTGAGAGCTGCAATCCTGAGATGTTAGCGATCGGCCATCTTGGATCGTTCCCATCTGTGTTGTTTCTATAGATCATCTTGAATTTCTGCCAAAAAAAAAAGGGACTGAATTATATACTGCTTCACTTTGCAAATAGAGAATTATTATCTACTTGTTAGTTTCAATCCACTTATTTCTTAAAGGACAACTAAGCCATGATTATCACTCCTTTGTTTTCTTTTGACTTCATTAAAATTTTTCTTTAATGCTTAAGGCCTATAATGGAGCAGTAAACATTTACATGCATTTCAAAGTTGCATATGTTGGTTTCATTCTCTATGCTGGCAATATCTAAGGTGTAGGAAAGGAATTCTATCACTAAGTTATCAGAATTTACATAGAATTAATATTTGGAAATAATGTATTTTAAAAACTAAGTGGTAATGTCAAGAGAGGACTAAAGTCTCCATGAAGTTAATATGCTGGACATGCTTATGTACATCCTCATTAGCCACAAAACTGGGGAAGAGGGACTTTTCCTGGGTTACCTTATTTGGCACCTTTGCTGTAGAACCCATGCCAAGTCTTCATAGGTTTTATAGGAAAATGGATTGTTCATGGCACTTACTCAGTTTGTTCTTTAATCTATGGGCTTCTTTGAGATTTCCTATTCAGAGTCCCTTACCTTGTAGAGGAGAGATACTGGGGAAAAAAGCGTTTCTTCTTTTTGCCTGTACGATGCCATTTTTATTTTTCTTATCCTAATGCCATCATCCTTATCTCTATTTATGAGATATCCTGAAAGGGTCAAGAAAAAAATCACTTTTGCTACCTCTAGGGCCCTTATTACCTATCAGTCATTTGACCCTTCCTTTGAGGTACTTTGATACACTCTAGTCATGTTATACAGTTACTTGCTGAGTGGTAGATATCTGATTTGTGAGGATCTGACATTTATTAAAGGTTTTTGCACTTGGACTCCTCCTCTGCCCACCCTTCTGGAGTTGGTGTCAACTTTCCCTAGTTGGATAGCCACAAGCTGATCCTGGCCAGTGGAGCCCAGAGTAAGGAGGATGCTCAGGGAACCACCTGGGATGACATCTCAGTCCCACTGCCCTCCATTCCTGATGTCCTTATGCCATCTATATGCCGTGTACAGATCAGCTCATTTTGCTTCAGACATTTTCTTTCTCACCAATCAATACACATCCTCTTCACTCCATTTCCTCTTTCAATCTCCCAGTCCTTGTCAAGATAATCAATAACCCTTTCCTATCATTTATGCAAAATTCTTAATCTAATTCCCTAAACCCTTCAACTTAAGGTCAGTTTTCTTTAAGCATTACTATTGAAGCTATAAATTTAAAAAATTAATAAAGAATTTGAACATTTCTGAAATAATTCTAAAGAATTTTAAATTCTAAATTTTAGAATTTTAAGTTCTAGAGAAAAGAATTTTATATATATTATGTAAACATATATATATGTCCCTATGTAAAACAAGACATTTTCAACTTAGTATTTTACTTAATCAGTTATGTTACATCAGTACTGTGCCTCAGGAGTTTTCATTATTTCAGTCATTTATTGGTTAAGAATGCCTTCATGGATTAGCTTGGAAGGGGTTTCCTACTATTTGCATTATTATTGCTATAGGAAGTACATTCTTAATTTCAAAAAATTGAATTGGAAGTGAAGCTTCGATTTTTTAAAAACTATTTTAAGTTGAAGGTGACCCATTTATGCTGTTATTTTCATGAAGAGAAACTACTAATATGAATCAATATGTTTCCTGATTCAGACAAAAGGTAAAAAGATTATGAGGGAAGAGGCTCATTATTTTGATATATTTTTTTCTAATTATAAAACCTGCCATCAGAACAAGATCAACGAGGACACATTTCCCTTAGATTGTTTAGCTTACTTGATGTTTGCTCTGCAATAACACCAGCTAGCGTGAGGTAATTCACTGCAATTAGAGCTGCCAGTGACAGTTGGGCAATTCAGAGAGAGGCATTTGTCAACAGGTTCTACCTTAGACAAGGAGCAGCAGAAAAACTGGAATCTTCTGCAGGGATGGCTTGCCTGCTCCCAAATGAAGTAGGCAAAGTTTATCTTCATCCTCTCATTGCCACATTGGCAGCTGCTCTCCTTGCCTTGGCGTTAGATCCTTTCTGCGAGCTGCCTCTTGGTTACCCCAGAATGTTCAATGCAGCCTCACATTTCTTTCTGTGTTTCCCAGGATAGGCCCAGACCTTGAGGTAGCATAGGCTTCTTCTCTAGGCTGTAAACTCTACGAGTGAGATCCAAATCTGCTCTTCTTCCTGTTGTCCACAGTGTGTAACACAGAGCCTTTAGTAGAGCCAGCCATATTAACTGAATAATAAATGAGAGTGAATGAATGAATGAGTGAATGTAAGTGTGTACATCTTCCTTTGTAGGGGGTAGCACTCATCCTAATCTATTTTTCAATAGATTTTACTTACAAGAAAAAAAAGCAACATTTTAAGAATTGTATACATCTAAATGAGGACAATCTCTTAATAATCCAAAAGGGGAAAAAACCTTCTAATTGTATAATTTCAGCCATTAGAGACAAGCAGAGAGGGAGAGAGATATCTAATTTGGTGAATTTCCTTAATTGTACTACATTAACTGCCACTTACTTCAACCACTGGGAACAGCTAGCCTATGTAGATTCTAAACAGTCTTACTGATAAGCATCCACTAAAAATATAAGAAAGAGAGGCCAGGCACGGTGGCTCATGCCTGTAATCCCAGCACTTTGGGCGGCTGAGGCGGGCGGATCACCTGAGGTTGGAAGTTTGAGACCAGCCTGACCAACATGGAGAAACCCAGCCTTTACTAAAAAAGATACAAAATTAGCCGGGCTTGGTGGTGCATGCCGCAATCCCAGCTACTCAGGAGGCTGAGGCAGGAGAATTGCTTGAACCTAGGAGGTGGAGGTTGCAGTGAGCCGAGATTGTGCCATTGCACTCCAACCTGGGAGTGCAAGAGTGAAACTCTGTCTCAAAAAAATAAATAAATAAATAAAATAAGAAAGAGAAGTTCATTCAATACTTACTGCTATCTTTCGTGGGATTGAGTGTTTCTATAGGGGAAAAACTGATGAACGTTATTTACATATGAGGTTCCCAGGTCCTAAGAATGATATAGTGATATAATAGTTACTGAGCTCCTGTTACATACTAGGTACTATACTGATAATTTTACATACATGATTTAATTTGTGCAATCCAACAGCAAATGTTATTTCCATTTTGTTGGTGAAGAAATTAAAGTCTAGAAAGAGAGCGCATAGCATTCTATCCTAGTGGTGTTTGTTATTTTCTGTGAAACTCTTACCCCTCCTCCAGGTCTTAAAGAAAGGTAGTGTAATCTTGTAAACTTATATCAACTTGGATATGAGAAATAGAAGGGATATGAGAAATATATTATTTTTTTTGTAGAAGAAAATACTAGCTAATATCTATTTGAATATTAAATTCAGTCATTAGTTTATACCACCTAAAGTATTTGTGTTAATATACTTACTGTTGTTTTTAAAAAACATTTTCAAGCTGTAAAAAGGGGCTCCTATGACATGGTATCGACTCTGATCAAACACAACACTAGCCTAGACCAGCCCTGTGTCAAGAGATGGTCAGCAATGCATGAAGCCGCCAAGCAAGGCCGAAAAGATATCATAGCTCTGCTGCTGAGACATGGAGGCAATGTCCACCTGAGAGATGGATTTGGAGTCACACCCTTAGGCGTTGCTGCTGAGTTTGGTCACTGTGATGTGTTAGAACATCTAATCCACAAAGGTATGTGAAAAGGAGTTACAGTTTTCTGAATTTTGTCCTACCTCTCAAGCTCTCCTTTTCAATATTCTTCACTATTCCTCCCCGAATGTAACTAGGGGAGATCCTCTTCCACTCCTTAATGGAACTTGGCATCAGGCTTTCATACCTGGTCCCTCAATAGATCCTTACTCTACAACTCAGCTAAGCCCTATATGTTGTGACCTACAAATCTACAAGCCCAGTCCTGATTGCTCTCTCTAGGGACAGTTCAATCTGCATTTAGATGGCTCATCAGGGCCTCAGGCTTATCTTCTAAACTGAATTCCTCCTGTTTTTCTACTTTTCTGATGTGATAATTTCTCTCATCATGATCTCGAATTCCTCCATCACAGGCTTTCTTAAATCCAATCAGTTGCAAAGTCTTGTAGCATTTCTCTTGTCCTCTCGTTACAATCTATCTGCCATCCTGGTTAGGTCCCTCAATCCTCCCTGGACCAATGCAAATGCTTTCTAACCATTTTCTGGGTTTCTAGTCTCCCATCAGAGAATCAGTAAATACTGCAACTTGGTTCCTCTCCCTAAAGGGCAGCTTCCATAGTGTCAACTAGTGAAAAAAATAATCCCTATTACATAATCTCCAATTGTTTTACCACATTTATCCCTTACTGCTCCCACCTTGTATCCTACACTCCAGTCAAAATACACAAGCAGTATTCCCAAACATATCTTGCATTCCTTCTCTCTGGGTTTGGGTCAGGTCTTTGCCTTCATTGCTTCAGCACAATTCAAAGTCAATCTCTTGAGACACCTCCCTAAATCCTTTCCGAATTCTTCACAACAGATTGTGACATTGCCCTCCTTTATACAACTACAGAACCATGAGTTAAGGAGACCTAACTCCTAAACTGGTTGAGCAAATTCATTCATCTGCAAATGAATGCTAGCATCACATGATACCCGGTGATTCTCTATGGGAAAAAAAAACTAACATTTTTGAGGTCTCGCACTACAACCACATTTAATTATCAAATAAGCCGTGTGAAGTAGGCTGTATTAATCATTCACAGATGTGGAGTTGGAGGTGCATGGAAGTAAACGGCTTGTCCCCAGCTTTCGCCATAAGTAGCAGAGCCTCTGTCCTCTACATCATGTCTCCTTGTCCTAATGTCACTGGAAAATCATATAGTTTGTGCTGTCTGATATTTTGTTTCATTTCCCCTCTAAGCTCCTTAGAGTAGTGACTCATTCCTCTTAGGGTCACACACACTGATTGCACTAGAGGGCAATAAAGTATTTGTTAATACTTTATTAACTCTAACTATTTGTTAAGTTAAAATAGAGTAGGCCGGGTGCCATGGTTCATGCCTGTAATCCCAGCACTTTGGGAGGCAAAGGTGGATAGACCACTTGAGGCCTGGAGTTGGAGACCACCCTGGCCACCACGGTGAACCCCTGTGGTGGCACATGCCTGTAATCCCAGCTACTCAGGAGACTGAGGCAGGAAAACTGCTTAAACCTGGGAGGCACAGGCTGCAGTGAGCTGAGATTATATCACTGCACTCCAGCCTAGTCGACAGAGTGAGACTCCGTCTCAAAGTAAAACAAAACAAAACCCAAAATCTATTGTCTTTAAATTAAAAAGTCTAATGAGCCTTTTTTGGAAAAATTTACCCATCATGAAAATTGATTTCATTTCTCTCATGTTTTTTGGCTTAAAGATTTTCTAATAAAATGAAGCATGCTGCATGCATGCATGAGTGTTGACTGAAAATATAGAAAATATGGAGGTCCTTAATTCCATACTTTTTAAGTCCTAACCAGAAAGGAACTCAACATGTTTTTTTTTAGGGGATTGTTTAAACAATAGCATCCTGATTATGCCACATGTTTTATTCTGCCAGGTGGTGATGTGCTTGCTCTGGCGGATGATGGGGCGTCGGTGCTGTTTGAGGCAGCAGGAGGTGGCAATCCTGACTGCATTTCCCTCCTGCTGGAATATGGAGGAAGCGGAAATGTACCTAACCGAGCAGGGCATCTTCCTATACACAGAGCTGCCTATGAGGGGCATTATCTGTGAGTGATAAATTATAGGGTTATTGAGTTAAAAATGCAAATGTGTATATACAGTACAATCACAAGTCTATATACAATATCTTTGAAAATCCAAAGAGCAGGAGGTGAAATCTTCACATTTTAATGCTTCATCATTCGATGCTTAGAACTTTTTTGATATTCCTGCAATTCCAAAAATGAATTTATAGTACTTTACAATGAAAATAAATTTTCTTTTAGAAGGAATTAAGGCATAAGTTAGAATTCTGCACAAGCCACCCAAGAGTGCCTTTCTGTTTACAAATGTATTTAACAAAAGGCTACGAAGTTTCTAAAAATTTCGTCCTTGATAAAAGATTACAATTTGTAACAATAGTGTCAGTGTTATTCCAATTATTTCCTAATAACTCCAGGATATTATAGTATAATGTCAAATATATTCTTGAACAGAAAAGTTTCATTATAAGTTTAGAATTCTTTATTCCATACAAATGGTTGAATAGATTCTTAAATCACAAAATGTGCATAATTAACACATTGGTGGAGGTCTAGATCACTATATTAAATTACCCACCATGAGAAGATGATTTTAGGCAATTAAATATATTTCATAAGCTCAAAAGGTTTGAAGTAATTGGGATTTATAGTTTTCAGTGGGCCACTGGCTAAGTGGCCAGTGATGCGTAATTGATGCGAAGTGACACGTTGTTAGAGTTTACCTGGATTTACTCCCAGTGTTCATAAATTTGCACAGTAGGCACAAGAGATCAAGTTATCCTTGCCTGTGGCTCTCATACATGTCTAGCTGGTTAGTCAAGTGTGAAATTCACAACCATATCACATGTACTTAGAAACATAAACTGTGGTTGGGTATCTCAACTGGACTGATGCAAGGCTGATGGAATACTACAGACTCTTCTTTTGGCTAATAATTCAATTGCAAGTTATATGGAAGCAGACAATGTACATGGTCAATATTAAAAAATAGATTGCTCAGGAATCAGTGAAAGAGGAATAATTCATCAGAATTCGAAAAGGCCCAAATTCTCATCCTTCTCTACATCTAATTGTGTGACCTTGGACAATCATTTTGCCTCTCCAGACTTTAGATTGTTCTTCTGTTAAATGAAGCAGCTGGACTAAATGACATCCAGGGTCACTTCCTATGACCCTATGATCCTAATAGTCAAGATTACAAAGCACTCCTCTATGGCATTAGAAAAGCTTACTTTTCTTCTATATTTTTAAAAATAGTATTGGTTGCCTGGAAATATTATATTGTTCAGAGAAGAAATGGAAGAGGGAGAGAGTTCTAGTACAAAACATATACGATGTAGTGTGTTTCACAAGAATATTTAGAACAGAAAGCTAAATCAAACTGAGCTAAATTACACTAAGCTAAATAGTTGTACCTTAGTAGACAGAAGTTAAATATTTCAGCATAAGGTTATCTAGTACAATTTGCATTCACTTACCTAACAAGAACAGTTTAATTTCTTGATTTTCTTTATGGTACGTAGATATCTGACTTTTTTTCTTGTAGTGCACTGAAATATCTTATCCCAGTAACATCTAAAAATGCAATTCGGAAAAGTGGGCTAACACCAATTCACTCAGCGGCAGATGGACAAAATGCACAGTGTCTAGAACTGCTCATTGAAAATGGTTTTGATGTCAATACCCTACTTGCTGACCACATTTCCCAGAGCTATGACGATGAGAGGAAGACTGCGCTGTATTTTGCCGTTTCTAATAATGATGTTCGTTGCACAGAAGTCCTTCTGGCGGCAGGTGCAGACCCAAACTTAGATCCCCTCAACTGTCTACTTGTGGCAGTGAGAGCCAATAATTATGAAATTGTCCGGCTGCTTCTCTCCCATGGAGCTAATGTCAATTGTTACTTTATGCATGTAAATGACACTCGTTTCCCCAGTGTCATTCAGTATGCCCTAAACGACGAGGTAATGCTGAGGCTATTGCTGAATAATGGCTATCAAGTGGAGATGTGCTTTGACTGCATGCATGGCGACATCTTTGGAAATTCATTTGTGTGGTCAGAGATAGAAGAAGAGGTGCTGCCAGGATGGACATCTTGTGTAATAAAAGATAACCCGGTGAGTTATGCCTTTTCTGCTTTATATTGGGTAATCATCCTAATTTACTACACATTTATTCATTTAGGGATGTTACAAGAAAAAAATAAACTCTAATTTTTCTATTTTTCTTCTTCAATTTTTGTTTGCAACAATATGAGGATATAAGCATAAATCTAGAATCTAGCCCCTCTGCCCCCCCAAAAAGATGCTGTTCATTTTTTCTTGACTTGAAAACTGAATGTAAAAGAATGTGAAATGTAAGCAATTAGTCACTTCTGACTGTTTAGTGGAATATTGGGGCCGGATGGAAAGAAGCATGATTCCTCCGTGCTTTGCTGACTACAGTCACATCAGAGCGAGGCGAGTCTTCAGGGCTGATGTTTTCACAGAAAGAAGCAAACAATTTATTTTTAATTTTTGTTCATTACAAGGAGGGATCTTTTGTTTTCTGTAATAAGACAAAAGAGTAATGTTTCCATAACACAATTGAGTGTTTATGTACATGGCATATTAAAAATACTACTAAATTAAATTTTTATCAATTCTCTCAGTTCTGTGAGTTTATTACAGTTCCTTGGATGAAGCACTTGGTAGGCAAAGTTACTCGAGTACTAATAGATTACATGGATTATGTTCCTCTGTGTGCTAAACTGAAGTCTGCACTAGAAGTACAGAGAGAATGGCCAGAGATCCGTCAAATACTAGGTAAAAACCAGAAGTTTTGCCTATAATTTTTAAATTAAGAACATATATGGGGGAAGTTCTTAATGTCTTCTTTGATACTTTTTCTATGCTACTCTACTATATTTCCAGAATTATCTGGGTTTTAAAATCATCCTTAACACTTCCTCTGTTGTAAGATACATATTTTCATTTTTCTTTATATTTTCCAGCTTTGTAATTGTATAATGAGTAATAAAATAGTTATATTAACATTCTGATTACAATTCATTTTTAAAATTAAATTCCATAATATCACATAATACGTGTAGACTGCAAGCTCCATGTGGGTAGGGATCTGCTTTGTTTCTTGTTATATTCGCAAGGCTTAGCATAAGGCCTCGTAAGTACAGGTCAATAAATACGGAGTAAATGAATGAACAGAAAGGATTAGAATTACTCTTTTTGACCTGCTTTCTCTGGGGTCTTTATTGACAAAGCCCTACCATCAAAGGTTAGTATTTATAGACAGGCCATTTTTTTTCTAGGTGAAAGTTTATCATGAAAATGAATCCTGCAACTTTCAATGAAAGTACATTTTAAAATAATTCAAATACAAACAGAAACCAGAAAAATATCACAGATTTGAGACGGTTTCAGTTACAAAATAAGAGTTTGGAAAAATAAACTTTCAAAACCTAGTTGGATATCAATTTCATGAAGCCTAAAGAAGAATTATAGAACTTCATATGACTTTAAATCATTTGGTATTCTTAGTATACCTGAATCAGCCTTTCCGTGGAATTAGTTCTATAATAGAAGAGACTCTGAGGCAACTAAAACAGGAAACTTGGAGAATCTGACGAGTAATATAGTATTGTTAGCCTAGAAATTGAACTCTGGGGTCAGATAGACCTAGAATGAGATGAAATCCTGACCTTTCCTAGAAGTAGGATTGCTAGATTATAAAGTGCAGTGTAATTCGGGACTGATGTTTTCATGAAAAAAAGCAACAATTTATTGTTACAATTTTTGTTTTTCTAAGTGAAGGAAGAATTTTTTATTTCCTATAAAAAGACCAAGATAGCCATTGTAGTTGTGTGACTTTGAGCAAATTACATATTCTTTTTATGTCTGTGTTTTCCCATTGCAAAGTAGACATAGGATAGTATTAATCTTATAAGGCTGTTGTGACACTATAAAGAAATAATGCAAATGAGATGCTTAGCGTCTGGAACATTTAAATTACATAATACACTTAGTTTTAAAACTAAAGTATTAACATTTTTATGTTTTTATTACATGGTAAGTTTATGTGAGATATCTGAAATGTATATGTAAAGTGTGCTATGAAATATTAAGTTATAGAGTTAAGTAGTATCATGCCTATTTTTTACAAAGAAAAAGCTAAGGCTAAAAGGAGATTACAAAATAGTCTAGACCCTATGCATTCTTGAAAACCACCTCTCAAAGTTCCCTTCCTGAACTTAAAGCCTGCATTGAGAGCAAAATCAAAAATCAATCAGGACAGAAACAAGAAAGGACCCCAAAAAAGAGAGGGTGGCAAACAGAGCCAGGAAACCTCAGAAGTCTAACCACCATATTTTGGGTCACTGCAAGAAAATACTAGAGTAAGAAGCTCTGTAAAGTTAGAAGAGCTATCTGGAACCAAGCATCCTTCTAAAAATTCAAGAAAACTAAATGCCAACAAAAATGAGCAACAGAAAATATCACAGTCAAATCCCATAATAGTAAGAAAAAATAGAACAGAATAATATCCCCACAAACAATGAATACATAACTGAAAAATTACACGGTCAGAACAATCAAAATTCAAACCTCTATTTCAAAATAAGCCAAAAAGCATGAGGAAAATAACATAAGATACGGAAGAATAACATGAGTCAAAAGTTTGAAAAATTCAGAAACCAGATAACAACTGAGGAAAGAATTAGGAATCAAAATCAGAAAAAAATTAATTTCAAATGTGAAGACTCAACAACTGGCAACACAGTTGACAATATATTGAGAGACAGAAAAGAGTCTATGGAAGAAAATTTTTAAATCAAATATAAATGAAGAAATAGATAAAAGAATTTTTAAATATATATATTTGCTCATTACAATAGGTTTTGGGGAAACAGGTGGTGTCTGGTTACATGGATAAGTTGTTTAGTGGTGATTTCTGAGATCTTGGTGCACCTGTCACCTGAGTAGTGTACACTGCACCCAATGTGTACTCTTTTATACCTGGCCCATCCTTCCTCCCAAGCCCTCAAAGTCCACTGTATTATTCTTATGCCTTTGCATCCTTGTAGCTTAGATTTTAAAAAAATTTTGAAAGACAGTTAAAAACACTGACAACACACAATGAATAATCAATATACGGATAATAGGACTCCTTGAAATGGAAAACCAAATCAAGGGAACATAACAAATACAAAAACCTAGGCTTCAAGAAAAACCTTCTATAATAAAAAAGAAAGATTTGAAACTATAATGTACAAAATACTATATCCTTTGGGCATGTAGGCAAAAAAAATGACATATAAGAGAAAAAATGGATTATTATTAAGCTTTTTATCAACAATACTTCATGCCAAAAGAAAATGAAGTAACATATTTAAGGATCTCCACGGAAGGAAAATGTGAGCTACGGATGCTTACGTGGCAAAATTGACTTCCAATGATCAATGCAGGCAAACTGCTGTCAGCATGCAAGAACTCAGGAAATATTGTTCTTCTTACTGACGTCTGAGGGGTCCACTAAAACATGACCTTTAGACAACCCAAAACGTTTAGAGAGATATCAACGTGAGGACTAGTATTAAACAAGACTAGCATTAATCAGAATGCCAAGACAAAGTGAGAGTTAAAAGGGAGGAGATGCAACATGTAATGGTTATATGTTCTGATGAAATAGATAACAGCACAATTATTTATTTTTAAATATTAGTAAAGAGAGAAAATAAATAATATTTAATAATAAATTAAAATACACATTTTTAAATATCTTAAAATATTCACGGTGATATATTAATATTGTTGTGCTGAGAATGACATATTCAGGAAATGAGTAATTAAGGAATATTTCAATTCCATTTTTCCTTCTATCCTTGAAGCCAAGGATTGCCAGTGTGGCAGGAAAAAAATACAAATGTAATAGAGAAGAGATTAAAGAAAAATCCTGTAGTCCTGAATTTGAATTAGAAGTAACAACATAAACTCATAAGCTGTTTTATCTTGAAAGTGTGTGTGTGTGCATGTGGACTGTGCTGTGTGTGTGTGTGTGTCAGTTTATAGATAAGGTTTAGGGATAATGATAAACCCAGTAGCAATGAGCATTCCTACGTCACAGACTTTGGCCTGGAAATGCCGTTTCCTTCAGAAGAAACCAGGGTTTTTGCTGGAGGTTGTTTTGTTTTGTTTTTGAGAAATGGATGATGGCATATGGAGAAGGAAATGAACAAGATGAACCTGGAACATCTGGTCATACCAGAAAGCAAAGAAACTCTTAAAAACTACATAATTCATGACAAAGGAATTCAGGGGCCAACTTGAAGAGATTCCAACCGGCCAAAGATGGGACAATATAAGTTTCAAAAAGGGTAATTATTTCAATGAATTGAAACCTATCTTTAAACATACGATTTGTGGGGTTTTTTTCTTTTTTTCTTTCTTATTCCTTCAACTTGTATTTTAAGTTCAAGGGTACACAGGCAGAACGTGCAGGTCTGTGACGTAGGTAAACATGTACCATGGTAATTGGCTGCACAGATCATCCCATCACCTTGGTGTTAAGTCCAGCATGCATTAGCTATTCTTCCAGATGTTCAAACTCCCTGCAGTCCCGACAGGCCCCACTGTGTGTTGTTCCCCTCCATGTGTTCATGTGTCTCATCCTTCAGTTCCCACTTGTAAGTGAGAACACGTGGTGTTTGGTTTTCTGTTCCTGCATTAGTTTGCTGAGGAAATGGTTTCCAACTCCATCCATCCATATTCCCGCAAAGGACATATCTCAATCCTTTTTATAGCTGCACAGTACTCCATCATGTATATGTACCAATTTGTTTTTATCCAGTCTATCATTGATGGGTATTTAGGTTGTTGATTCCATGTCTTTGCTATTGTTAATGGTGCTTCAATGAAAATACATGTGCATGTATCTTTATAATATAATTATTTATTAAATATACAATTTTAAAAAAACCTGGTCTGGTCAGCTTCATAAGATAATAGAAAATCAACTCATTATCTTAAAAATTGATAAAAAGAGGTAAGCATTTATTCTGATTTACATATATTTGTATAAAAAATATATGCATATGAATATAAAATATATGCATATATATGTATATATATAAAATCTGTGACATTAGTAACTAAAGAGTAGATGAGCAATAGCATCCCTTTATAAAAGTATTCTAAAAATAAAAAAGATATTACATCACCATTTTATAGCCCCCAATAAATTAATAGATGTAGTCAATGAGCATCAACAACTGCTAATATGTAGCCCCCAAAGAATGAACACGGAATCAGCTATGTTTTGCCAAAGAGATCAAACCCGAGCCTGATCAAGTCTCTGGATCCAGTTATCAATTTGCAAGAAATATAGAAGACAGTGGGACATGGAACTGCACCATGAAAATGCAATCAGCAGAGTTCAGGCTGTGGGAAACTACAGGGCATTTGGGTTCTTCAAAGATTAATTCAAAGAACAAGAGGGGGATGGAGAAAATAACCTGCAGATTATTAGAGACTTAAAAGGACATAGCAAAAATTTAAAAAATAAATTGTCAATACTATAGTGCAGGGATAGTGCACTTACGTGATGAAACTCTAAAGAAACTGATTACAAGTCAGAATAGTAGTTATTTATGGCAGGGGAAAGAAAGAAAGACGGAAGAATTATAGAGGAATTTCTTGGTTGTCTGACAAAGTTCTATGTCCTATAGACCTAGGAGGTGATTAAAGACGTTCAGCTAATAATTACTTATATAACATGAAACTATACATGTGTACTTTATTTTGCAATAAAGAGTTTATAACCTTATTTTTTAGCTTGGAGACTGCAAGGGGCAGAAAAACGCTGAGGCTTAGATAAATTAATTTCTCAAAGTAATAGACATAGAAAATAAAGAAGTGAAGATCTGAACCCTTGCTTGTCTTACTTGAAAAAACACAGACTCTTTCTATAATACCATTGTACTTCCTGTCATAGACAAATTTTGCTTCTAAGTGGAAATTAATTGCTCACTTTTTTTTTTGCAAAATAATTACCAATTCTGATGACTTTGGGAAGACAATTCGAGTAAGAATAATGCCAGGAAGTTTTTTTTAATTATTATTATTGTTTCCGGCATACATTATTGCAACTAGGGTAGAAGCCAGTTGATTGCTATGAGTATGATTAACCACTGGATGTCAGGAGTCCTCCATCTATCTATAAGGCAGCATATTTGTTAGGGAAAAAAAATTGCCTTTTTTTTAGTTGGATTTTTTTTTTCTCCTTATTTTGGTAATAATGTTGCATCAATAATTTTTGTGAGCATTGTTTTTAATTTAAAAAAGAAAAATTGTTGATATCATCAAATGTAATATACATGTGATCATGTTTCTTATTGCATTGAATGATAATGTTTATTGAATGGTTACAATGTACGAGGCACTTTTCTAATACTTTACATGATTTGTTTAATCTTCAAACAACCCTATGAGATAAGTACTGTTGTTATCCTTATTTCACAGATGAGAATACTAAACTTGCAGACATTAAGTGATTTGCCCAAGGTCACACAAATTATTAAGGGGCAGAGCTAGGAGTTTAGTCCAAGCTGACGTGGTCCAGAGTGCACATCTAAGCCTGAATGCTATGCTGCTCCTTCATTCATTCATATTGCTGCTATAAAATATCAATCTTGCAATTATCATATAAAGAATTGAAAGTATTATCAGATATTTAAATAATTTTAGTATATTTTTGAGAATATACAAGGTTTAAGTATCAGACTCTGGAAACAAAATCCAGATTGGATTATTCATGATATATGGAATCATCTGCATCAATGTTTCATGGATAATCATGGATAATTATTTATCAGATAGATTGGTAGGAGAAAGAAAGTAAAGAAATATATTTATACAATACTTAGCTCTAAAAAAATAAAGAAGAGATGTGGGCATTTGCTTTCTTAAGTCCATGTATTCATTCCACAAATTCTAGTTGAATACCTACTATGAGCCAGACTCCCTTCCTGGCACAGACACAAACTAAATTTCTGCCCTCATGGAGCTTACACTCTAGAGGAGTAGACTAGAATATTCAATTACAATTTGAATTTCACTTAAAATCACCAGTTGCTAAAGTGTGCATGCATGTTTTTCAGAATACACCATTCATGTTATTTTGAAATAGTCATATCTTAGAGGTCAATCCACTATTTGAAAAAAATTGCTTATTTTCCCCATTTCATTTAGAGAATCCTTGTTCATTGAAGCATTTGTGTCGGTTAAAAATTCGAAGACTTATGGGACTCCAGAGACTCTGCCAGCCAGCCTCAATAGAGAAGCTTCCTCTACCACCAGCTATTCAAAGATACATATTATTTAAAGAGTATGATCTCTATGGACAAGAGCTAAAGTTGACATAATATTTTAAAATGTGATTTTAAAAAATATTTTGAAATGTGATTCCCTCACATAATTTCTTGGAACCATTTTACATCCTTAATTGTAAAGTGTATTTAAATTTGTTGACAATTTTATGGGTGGATCATGTGTTCTTATGGGGAACACCATAATCTGTGTCTTTAAAGACACATTTTTTAACGATAGTATTTTGAACTTAGATTTGTATCTTTGTCTTCAGAATCTCCCTATCAAGTGGCTCCTGCAATATCCACAATCAAGTCTCTATGACAGATAAGCACTTTCTCAAACCCACATCTCCTTCCAGTTGCTGGCCCGATTCTCCTGTTTTTCATGGTCTTGCTGTGTAAAAGAGCTCCTCCTGCCTGTAGGTTCACACACTGTGATCTGGCATCTGCCCCTATACTGCTTTTCTCAAGGTCCCTGACAACCTCTTTGTTGCTAAATCCAGTGAACATTCTTCAGTCCCTCTTCCAGTTGATTCCTGCAGCATCCGACATTGTTTCCTCCCTGAAATGATACCTCTTTCCCTGTTTCTTACAAAACCTTGTTCTCTTGGGTGTCCTCCCACCTTCCTGGGCACTCTGTCTCTTGGTTTCTTTCTGCCTAGCTCATCTCTAGCCAATCTTTTAGTCGCATATCTTAAGCCCTTTTCACTTTTGCTTTGTTCTTTAAGTTATGTATCCTAAGCCCTCTTTGCTTTGGTCTCTGGGAAATTTTATCCACATCCATGGTTTTAATCATTTTGCTAGAGACTACAAAATTTCTATCCAAAACTCAGCTCTTTCTCTCATGTGCTTCCGACCTATGTAGACAATTGGCCTAATGAACATTTGAACACAAAGACAGACGTGTCCCTAGATGAACTCACTACCTTACTCCACAAAAAAAAAAAAAAAAAAAAAAGCTCTTTCTCCTTGATTCTCTAGCTCAATAGTTAATACAATGCTCAATTCGGTTTCTGAAGAAAAAAGCCTGGACATCGGACTTCACCATCCCATTTCCTCACCCCATGAGACAAATCACCAAACCCTATTAAGTTCATCTTCCACTCAGCCCTTCCTCCCCCTGATTTGGCCTTCAGTCTATTACCTTCTTTTTCCTGGGTTAATACATTGCTGCTTATCTGACTCCCCTGCCTCTGACTTGCCCTGTCCCAAACACTGCCTACATACAGCATCTCAGAATAGTCTTTTACAAATATAATAGAGTTTTACTTATCTGCTTAAGATTATTCCCATTGCTCTTAGGTTAAAGTCCAAAGTTCTTACTTGAACTTTCATAATCTAACTCCTAACTTTCTTTTAGTGTCATCTCTGGATGTCTCCCTTTCCTCCCTTCCCTTGAACCTTCTAGAATTTTATTTCTTAAAAGTGATTCCCAGACTTTAAGGTGTCATGTACCAATTGGTTTTGTTGTGTTAATTTTTTTAAAAGACTGTTTAAAATATACCATCTACTATCACCATCATTTCATAAAAGAGGGGTCATTTTAATGGCAGAAAATAAGATGGTTATAAACTCAGTCATTCAAGTTGAATGACTTTTGCTTCAACTTGAAGACCTCACACTGTTGTCATTTCCCCACTGTTGAGTGAGAATTTCACTGTGGGCCATCGAATATCTGAGGACCTTTGTATGGGGAATCACTGCTGCAGATTAGACCATGCTTTCTTTGAACCTCAGGGTCTTTGTTTTTCCTTCTCTCACCTGGAACTGTCTTTCCACTTTTTCTGCACCCTTTCACCTGATCAACTCCCACTTACTCCATAGATCTCAGCTGAGATATAGCTTCCTCTAGGATGGGAAGCCCCAGCACAGAACTTGTCATGCTTATTATAGAGGCCTGTGTTCCCTACTGTCTTTCCACTAGACTGCAAGCTCTACGAGGCCAGGTTCTATGTTTGTCTTGTTTTCCAGTGCTTTCTCAGGGCCAAACACATTCCCTAGAGCACAGAGTTCAATAATTATTTGTTGAAATATGTTGAATATGTGACAAAAATAATCAGTGACCTCACGGTGAAATAATAGCTTTAAATTTCTGAGTGAGTTAGATCATCTTGATAATGTAATTATTTAATGTTATTATTTTTAGATTTTAATAGTGTATTTTTCTTATATTTACTTTTATCTTATTACTGAATTCTTTCAACAGTAATATCTCACTGGTCTGTAAAGTTTTCAAGTTATATTTAGCTTTAGTTACCTTTGAAAGATAAATAAATATGAAAAAAAACTGTAAAATTAGGGCTATAATTTAACTTCTTATATTCCCTAGAGGTATGTTTTATACATAAGTTAAACTGTAATATATTTATCTTTAATTGTAACATTCTGTATACAGGATTTTATGATTCTTGTGTTGCACTCTTAGATGTGGTTAAAATGTATTGTCATCTAAATATATTGTTCTAATAAACAAAAAATCATATTGTGATTATAAGTCTGACTTATGATACTTCATATATTAGACTTTTGCTCACTAAAGCTTTGACATTTTCTTTGATACATATTTATGTAGATAATATTCAAGAAATACTACAATATAAAGATATGAATTAACTGCACATGCTGTGGGTTTTTAAAAGTGGTTTTTTTGGCATTTGTAAAGCAAGAGAAAAATGTGTCTTATGAAAAAGAAGCAATTGCTGTATCTAAATCAAATTTGATCTTTTACTCACCACATTTTGGGCTTTTCTAGCAGTGTTTTCGTTTTTGAGATGGCTGGATGGAAAAAGGAATTAATTTCCATCTCATGAGGACTCTTGTTCCTTCTAGAGTATGTCACTCTGTCCGGGAAAGGGAACAGCTGCTCCTCCCCAGTCAGCACTAGGAGAAGCCAAACATTCTACAGTGGAGCCTGTCTAACCACTGTGGAATCAACACGGCAGAGTCTGGATGTCATCTTCCCCCATGCTGCCAAGATGTCTGTGCCTGTTTTAGTCACTGTGGATTTTGTTTCGTACCACACGGAGAGTCTGGGTGGAAAAAAGCAGATCTGAACTCTCATTAAGTGTGTTTCGTTTATTTTTCCATAGGCCATCATTAAATAGGATCTCCATTTCCGGCTAAAGATAATTTTAAGAAGGACACCGAAACCAAGAGCCTCCTGAAGAATATGGTTTAATCATTTTAACTAGTCACAGAACATGTTTCCTGGTAATAGGATGTCAATGCGGAAGATGTGAAAACGATTATATCAATGTGCAGCAAATATTCATGGGCAACACCACCTTTAATGCAGGCTTTTGAACAACCAGAACCTATTGGTCAGACAGCATAGAAACGCTAACAAGATGGAGGATCTTATGACCCAGAGAACATACATAAGCCTTTCTCTTGTCATTGACCTTTTACCAGAAATACTTAGGCAAATTTTGGTTTCAAGTCGCATACTCTTATGTATATAACCACCTTCCAGTCAGAAATTACTTAGTAATATAAAAATTATAAGCTGCTACAGCAACATGAACACAGCTGGAGGCCATAACCCTACAAGAATTAATGCAGGAACAGAAACCAACTACCACATGTTCTCACCTGTAAGTGGAAGCTAAACATTGAGTATACATGGGCATAAAGGTGGGAACAAGGAGGGCAGAAGCAGGGAAGGGGGAAGTAGTAGGGAGGAGGGAGGATGAGTGGGAGGGGAAGAGGGGAAGAGGGGGAGGGGGGAGGGGGAGGGGAGGAGGGAGAGGGGAGGAGGGGGAAAGGGGGAGGTGTGGAAGAAGGGCAGAAGGGGAAGGGAGAGGAGGTGAAGGGCAGAAGTGGGGAGGGAGAGGGGAAGGGGAAAGGCAGAAGTGAGGAGGGGGAGGGCAGGAGTGTGGGGGTGGGGCAGAAGTGGGGAGGGGTTGAAAAACTACCTAATGGGAACTATGCTTACTACTTGAGTGAAGGAATCCATACCCTAAACCTCAGCATCATGCAAAATATCCATGTAATAAACCTTCACATGCACCCTTGTATCTAAAATAAATATTAAAATTATTTTTAAAAAATATAAGCTGCTTTAAGTGTTTTTATTAAACAAAATGCACGTTATGTCAATATATGCACACAAGACATGACATATACATATATACACATAAACAAACACACGCATTGTAGTATGGCATTTATTGCAGTACTGTAGGTAATGCAGTGGGCAAGGACACATACTCTGTACTTAAATAGGTATGTTAAGTGGAATAAGCCAGCCACAGAAAGACATATCTCACTTATATGTAGAATCTAAAAAAAGCAAACTCACAGAAGCAGAAAGTAAAATGGTGGTCACCAGGAGCTGGGAGGTGAGGGGATTCAGGAGATGCTGGTCAAAGGATACACAATTTCAGGAGAAGTAAGTTTGAGAAATTCGTTGTACAACAAGGTGACAATAGTTAAAATAGTGCATTGTATATTTGAAAACCTCTAAGAGAGTAAATTTTGTGTTCTCTTCACAAAAAAAGTGTGTGAGGTAATGAATATGTTAATTTGCTCAATGTAGCCATTTTACTATATATATATATACTCCAAAGCATCATGTTACATACCTTAAATATATACAATTGTTGTCAATTTTAAAAACATAAAAAGATATCAAAACAGGTATCAATTACTTTTACAGTGTCTTAATTTTATATAAATAGTATAATTAAAATATAAAATAAAAACAGACTCGAATCATTTTGAACCAGACTCTGCAAATTATTTGCTGGTTGGTTTTGGACAAGACATGAGCTAAGTGTCTAAAGTACTATATCCAATACAGAGTAAGTGAACATGAAACCTGAGCTCTTACCACTGTTAATACATAGTGGCAGTGTGAATGTCAGAATTGCAAAAGTCAGGAACCTTGGTCTTATGGTACATGGCTGTAGACTGTCATTACATCTGAAAATACAAAAAAAAAAAATTGTTAGGAATGTATATGGCATCTCAGTGTCATTTCTAAATACTTTGACAACATTCACAGAATGAAGACTTGCAGAGAATTGTCTCTAGGCAGTAAAACCCCACATATCCTTTGCCTTAGTAAAGCCTTAATGATTAATTGTTGACAAGGGAAGAAAGGGCTTCTCAGGGGAGAAGATGAGTAGAAGGAATAGATTTATTTGACCTGAGTGGCCCGAGTTGTGTAACCTCAGGGAATGCTGGAGATGTCTGGGGATTTGCTGTTTTGGGAAAGAGACAGTTTAGTAATTAGAATCTGGGCACTGGGAGCGCCTGAGTTCTAATGCTGCATTAGCCAATGATTCTACCAGAGGCACTTGACAGGTACTCACATTCTGTGCTTCAGACTCCAGGAAACTGGGAACAGCCATTGCTCTTGCTCTGGAAATCTTCCATGAATCTTTCTGGAATCTCTCAATGAGATTTAAGATAAAACTTCTTGGAAGCATCCTATATGGCTGGATCACGTAGAAAGTATGGAGGGCACTAAATGTGATACCTTTAGATTGAGTGTGTGTGAGAGACCAGTAGCCAGTTCTTTTTGTTGAAGCCAAGCCACACTGTTTTCTCATGGCAACTAGTTTTTAGGTTTTGTGGAAGTTAAATATCCAGGCATGACATTCAGTGGTCAGCAATTGCATGTTCTTTGCAATTTCTATGTTTCTGAGTGTCTGAATATCCCTAACTATGTGGTTACCCAAATTGGCTTAATATCATTTCAATGAAACAACAGTTTTGATCACCTTTGACTGGAGGCTGCCAACATTTGCTTAGGCTTTCCTTTGACTCACCAGAACCTCTCAACCAGAGTTCGACTCTGCACCCAGTCCTCTCATTTACCTGAAGTACCCAAGAAGCTAAATTGAGTCTGTGAGTTGGAGGGTGCCCTGATTAAATCAGAACTTCAACTATAGTGATTTGTATACTTCCTACAACG